AGTCGGATTTGTTCCTCTGCTCAGCTTGTGACGCTAATGGCCCTAAGAGGTTTGGGGCAGGATTGATGGAGCCAGCTCAGCTTGGTCCTCCCGTGTGGAACTCCGTGGGCGTCCCTACCTGATACTGCAACTTGGAAGCATGATTGTAAATATGCATATGCAAATATACGTGTGTGATATAAATGTGGTTCTATAATTGAATATCAGCCTCATCGCACACTTATATGGGGAAACTAGAATTGTATGAGTAGGTGTAAGGCAGACACTGTTTCACAATTTCCTGTTCCATGAAACGAATACATGCACTCATGCCATTGGGATCCTGTTTATTTCAAGTGATGTTCACCATTCACCACTGTTGGGCGTAGTAGGAATGTCAAGTTAATCTCTTTTGGTGGTGTTATAACATCTTCATTCATAGAGGCAGAGATCAGGAGCTTAAGAAAAAGAAAATGGGTTTGAGGTCAAACAGACTGGGATTCAATCCCAGTTCCGTCAATTTATAGCTATGACATTAGGCAAGTGATTTAATCTGTCCGTGACTATAGTTGCTTATCTGTAAATTAGAACAACAGTGCTTTTTTTTCACTAGTATATTATTAGCCTTAAATAAAATGCTTTCTGTAAAGTTTGTACAGAATGGTTGACAGTAGGTACTCAAAAAATTTTAGCTTTTAAAACAATTTTCAAAATTTAACTTTATTGTGTTTTTTTCCATTACCATTTAGTCCCTTTATACCCCGCCCTCAGCAATCCCCACACTGTTGTCCACGTCCGTGAGCCCTTTCTCCTTTGTGCTCAGCCCCTGCACCCCTCACCGCCTCCCCACTGGCTGCCGTCCTGCTCTCCATCGATGAGTCTGTCCTCGCGTTCCTTGTTGGTTCAGTTTCTTCATTAGATTCCACATATGAGTGGAATCATATGGTATTGGTCTTTCTCTCACTGGTTTATTTCACTCGGCATAATGTTCTCCAGGGCTCTCCATGCTGTTACACAGGGTACAATTTTCTTCTTTTTTATGACCGAGTAGTGTTCCATTGTGTAAATGCCCCATAGTTGATTTATACACTCATCCACTGGTAGACACTTGGGCTGCTTCCATGTCTTGGTGATTGTAAATAACGCTGCAATGAGCATAGGGATGCTTATGTTTTTTTGAATTAGTGTCTTGGGTTCCTTCAGCTACAGTCCCAGAAGTGGGGTAGCTAAGTTAAAAGGCAGATCCATTTTTAATTTTTTGAGGTATCTCCATACTGTTTCCCACAGTGGCTACACCAGTCTGCACTCCCACCAGCAGTGCAAAAAGATTCCCCTTTCTCCACATCCTCACCAGCACTTGTTGTTTGTTGATTTATTGATGAGAGACATTCAGGCAGGTGTGAGGTAATATTTCATTGTGGTTTTAATTTGTATTTCTCTGATGCTTAGTGATGTTCAGCATCTTTTCGTATGTCTATTGTCCATATGTATGTCCTTTTTGGAGAAGTATCTATTCAGGTCCTTTGCCCATTTTTTAATTGGGTTGTTTGTTTTTTTGATGTTGAGTTTTGTGAGTTCTTTATAAATTTTGGATATTAACCCCTTATCAGATCTATTGGCTAATATGTTCCCCCATTCAGTGGGTTGTCTTTTCATTTTGTTGATGATTTTTGTGTGCTGTTCAAAAACATTTTTGTTTGATGTAGTCCCATTTGTTTATTTTTTCTTTTGTTTCCCTTGCCTGGGTAGAAATATCTGATAAACTATTGCTATGAGCAATATCCGAGATTTTGCCGCCTATGTTTTCTTCTAGGATTTTTATGGTTTCGGGTCTCATATTGAAGTCTTTGATCCATTTTGAATTTATTTTTGTGTGCGGTGTAAGAAGGTGGTCTAGTTTCATTTTGCTGCATGTATCTTAAAAAAACTTTAGCCTTTTTTACATAATTAAAACAGCTCAGAACTATAAAGTCTTCCCCAGATAATATTCACATATATAGGGGCTCATGCTCACACACTGTGTAATAGGCTTACATATAAATTCACTCTAGTTGTTTCTTCTAAAAATACATATGTCTTCTATGAAGCAAATACAGTATATCATTCAAGAAATTTGTCTAGAACTAGATCAATCACAGTTATCAAAAATGATAAATGTCTAATGGAAAAATCACAATCCATGTAAATTACATGGAAATTTACTATTTTTTAAGTTTGGGGGTGTTTTAATTACTTATGTTTTTGTGTGCCTCTGTATAAAATTCAACAGAATATTACTGTATGTAGCCAGTATTATTTTGATCTATTCATGTGTCTGTCATTCTCTTTGTTTTCCTTTCCTTCCTGCATCTAGACTGTAGTCTTCCATCTAGTTTCATTTTTCCTTTACCTAAGGAATACTCTTTAGTATATTCCATAGTAAATCTGTTCCTGGTGAATTCTCTCAATAGCTGTTTGTCTGAAAAACGCCTTTATTTTAACATTGAATTCTTGGTTGGCAGCTCTTTCTTAAATTGTTTTTATTTAGCACTTTACAGATATTCCATTCTTTTCTAGCTTCCATTATTTTTATTGAAAAGTCCACTGTAAGTTTAATTGTTGCTTGTTTGGATATAATGTATATTTTGTTCTGAAGGCTTTTAAGATATTTTTTTTTCCTGTCTTTGGTTTAGAGCAGTTCAACTATCACCTTCCTTGGTGAGAATTCTTTGTGTCTTTCCTGCTTGGGGGGTAGGTCTTCTTGAATCTGTGGCTTATTATCTCTTATCATTTTTAGAAAATTCTTAACCATTATCTTCTTAAGTATTATTTCTGCCCAGTGATGTCACTTTCCTCCTCATAGGATTCAAATTATGTGTCTGATAGATGTGTCCTCTAGGTCTCTTATCCTCTCTTCTGTATTAGCCGTCTTTTTGTCTCTCTGTTTCTTCTAAAGCTCTAATTAAAGAATCCAGTTCACTAATTCTCTCGTCAACCGTGTTTACTCTGTTGGGAAATCCATTATATTCTTTTTTTGTTTTTCTTAGTGGATGCACTTTTGTTCTAGAATTTCCATGGATCTTTTGAAAGCAGATTCCAGTTCTCTGTCAAAATCCTCACGCTTGTCTTTAATCTCCTTAAATATTGTAAACATAGTCATTTTAAAATCTGTCTCTGATAACTCTGTACCAGAAGCCCCTGTGGATATGTTTTATTATCCATTGTTTCTAAAGTTTCTTTATTCATGTCATCTGGTCTGTTTATAGATCTCCTCCCCCTCTTAAATTAAATGTCTTTTACTTGAAAAATTGTGGAAACAATTTGAAAATTTAAACCAATTTAGGGATTAAGATGATGAAATTCTGAGCTTCAGACCTTGGGAGAGCTTGTCGGCTTCAGGCTCACGTCACTTCTAGAATACAGAACTTTGGATCACAACCCAAAAGAGTGGGTTGCACCCTGAACTCCTTGCCTGCCCCCCCGCCCCCATGCTTTGGCGTTACCAAGAGCGCACTCGGTTTCACAACTGCTCCACTTTGCAACGTGCAAATGCCCTTGGAGGAACGAGCCCCAAGCAATAGGTTCCGATCTCTGGGCCATCGTCATCCTTTCCTGATCCTGACCCGGTGATTTTTTTTTTTACTATCTTATTTTCTGTCTAGTGCTATAGGGAATTTTTATTTTACATTTTGCCCAGAGGATTTGTCTGTTTGTTTTTCAGAGTATTTACTTGTCCTCTTCCAGAAAAACTCCTGAGAATGGGCTTTTTAAAGCTACTTCATTATTTTCTTTTTCTGTATAGCATAAAGATGAAGAAATTAAATTTCTATGAAAGTTAAACTATTAAAATCTCAAGTGCATTTCAGCCTATTTAATGGCAATAGTTAGGCTTTCAGTAGACAGCTTGCAAATCCCTGCACCCAGTGTCCCCTTGCCTTTATATACATATCCCTACTTCCAGGAATGTTTTTTCTTGCAGCCACACCTCTATTCCATCCCCATTATTTTTTACCCCATTACTTTTCAAAGCCAGCAGTGTATCCTCATTTAAGAAGACTTCCTCACCTCTTCTCCAACTGGTCTTCGCCCTCCCGCAACTTATATATACTGTGCAAAGTGTCATCACCCCACCTGCCACGTTTGTTGGCCTTTTTTGCCCACTTGATTGCGAACTCCTTTGGGACCAGGACTATCTTTTTCAATTTACTTCCTTAGCACAATTCACGGCACATAATAGCATGGAAAAAATGGCAGCTATGAAAAAGATACTGGCCTTCCCCCACTTTCGGTACTTGTTTTCAAACAAATGCAGAAACTGATTTGAGTGTCTGGGTTTCAGCTTGTCGGTGGGCTAACAGTGTTCTCCCCCCAACTTCTCCAGGTCCTGCCCATCCCTCAGGTCCTGGTTGAAAGGGCCTCCCTGCTGACTAGCCCTCACTGATTCTGCCTCCCCTAAATTCCTAGGGTACACGTTCACTTATGCAGCAAATATTAAGCCTCAACTATGTGCAAGATACTCTCATAGGAGCCATGGATACAGTGGTAAACACACAGGGGCCTGCCTCATGGAGCTCACATGCGGTCTCACTCTGATCCGCATTAGCCCTGTTATACATGAGAAGAGCATTAGTCCAGTGAGCTCATAAAACATAAGACCGTACCTGGGGTGTGAATCACCCCCAGAGCGTTGGTCAGTGCTGAACGCTAAGTTGATGATCTTTCATCCTTGGGGGTCCATTGACTTGTTTTAATGGAAACCAGTGATAGAGCTGATACTCAGTAAAAAAGATATTTTGAGTGCTGAATGGCCTTTCTCCTGGATTCTGCCCAACATCTGTATATGGTAAGTACATGTGCAGCAGAAAATTAAGAGTCTCATTTGTATGTGTTATGAAGAAGGTTTCTGGAACTAAGTCGTCTTTTTCTCCATTTTGCTTCTGTGTGTGTGTGTGTGTGTGTGTGTGTGTGAAATAAAACCATAATAAAACGTTTTCATTGATTTCCTTCCTTTTTCCTCTCTCTGTCTCTCACTGTCTTCACAGGTCAGCGTGGAAGTTTTGGTAGAGTATCCTTTTTTTGTGTTTGGACAGGGCTGGTCATCCTGCTGTCCGGAGAGAACCAGCCAACTCTTTGATTTGCCGTGCTCCAAACTCTCCGTTGGGGATGTCTGCATTTCGCTGACCCTCAAGAACCTGAAGAACGGCTCTGTTAAAAAGGGCCAGTCCGTGGATCCCGCCAGCGTCCTGCTGAAGCACTCAAAGACCGACACCCTCGCGGGCAGTAGACACAGGTACGCAGAGCAGGAAAATGGAATCAATCAGGGAAGTGCCCAGATGCTCTCTGAGAACGGCGAACTGAAGTTTCCAGAAAAAATAGGATTGCCTGCAGCGCCCTTGCTCACCAAAATAGAACCCAGCAAGCCCGCAACAACGAGGAAGAGGAGGTGGTCAGCGCCGGAGACCCGCAAACTGGAGAAGTCAGAAGACGAGCCACCTTTGACTCTTCCTAAGCCTTCTCTAATTCCTCAGGAGGTTAAGATTTGCATTGAAGGCCGGTCTAATGTAGGCAAGTAGAAGCAGTGTGGGGAAAGGAAATTCGGCTCTCCCTTATCATTTGTATCCAGATTACTGTACTGTAGGCTAAATAACACAGTATTTACATGTTATCCTCTTCCTTTAGGTTTCTGTTATAACCTTGTCGTTAGAGTTACAGCTGGTGTTGCACAGGAGACTGGTGCATATGCTTTTTCTGGTTGTCTGTCAGTGGGCAAGTGGGGGGCGAGAGCAGGGCCAGTCTGGGCGCCAGGTATCCTGGTGGAAGTGAATGTGGCTTTAGAGCACCTGCCTTTTCTAGCCGCACAGAAACATCCACTGGGTGCGACTTCTGCTGGTTTCCGGAGGAAGTTCCGAGGGAAGGGGATTGCAGGGGGTGCGTGCGTGCGGGGCTGCAGCGGTGCCACAGCAAGTGAGGGGCTTTTTCTCTCTGCCTCCCCCGTCTCACTCTCTCTTGCTCTCAGCACGGGATGGGAGGTCCAGAGACAGGTCCTCAGAAGGTCTCATGTGCGAAATAAACATCAGGGACCCAGCGTCAGGGCACCCTAGAAAGACATCGACAACAGGTGGAAAGCGAACCATGTAAAAGAACATTTTTCCCCCTCCGACATATTTTACAATAAAAGCAACTTTTAATCATATAGATATATATTTCCCCCTATGGGGCCTGACTGCACTGATTTTTTTTTTTTAAGAGCAACTGCCACACGTGGGATTTCGTTTGTGCTTCACGAGAGCAGCGACGTGCCGGGTGTCTGGCGGGCAGGGCAGCCCTGCCGCATCGCTCCGCGTAGGGCTGGTGGGCTGCGGGGTGGAGAGCAAACACCCACTCTGGTTTCTGTGCAGTGTTAGGAAAACCAATCAGGTTATCACATTGACTTCTCTCCCAAGAGGTAGACACGACCTGCCCTTCCGAGAGCCGCAGAAGCTCTTCACATTGGGTTTGCAAATCTTTTGTCTTTTAACTCTAGTACTGTTTATAGTTCATGACTATGGACAACTTGGGTGCCACTTTTTTCAGATTCCAGTGTGACGTGAGGAATTAGATTTTGAAGACGAGCATATATATTACTATCTCTAAGCACTTAAAATGCTGTTCACACTTTATTACCAAGCATCTTGGTCTATCATTCAACAAGTACTGTATCTCACTTTAAAGTCTTTGGGAAGAAAAACAAAAAAAACTAAGTTGCTTTCTTTTTTCAACACTGTAACTACATTTCAGCTCTGCAGAGTTTCTCACGTCAAGATACTGAAAGTTTCAATGTGGTTTAACAGGATGAATGTGAATTATGAACTAGTATGTGGCCATGAATGACCACCAAGGACAGCCTGGCAGGAAGGCACGTCTCACTTTGATGTTTGAGAAAGAATTAAAGGCATATGCAGAGCTGGCAGAGAAACTGAGAGAAAAGAGATGGAAAAAAAAAATACTCATTTTTGTCCAGTGTTTTTTCTTTTTAAGATGAACTTTTAAAGAACCTTGCAATTTGCACATCTTGAGTTTATAATTTGTGTGATATTCCTGCAGTTCTTATCCAATAACATTGTGGGAAAGGTTTGGGGGACTGAACGAGCATAAATAAATGTAGCAAAATTACTTTCTAACCTGCCTAAACCGTAGGCTGTTTTATAAGGTTATGTTCCTTTCAAAATTCATTTTGGTCTTTCTGCCACATCTGTCACAAAAACCAGGTCTTAGCAGGACAACTCTGAGGATTTTCTTCAAATTCATTGAGAGAGTTTTCCATAGAGACATTTATATATGTGAGAAAGTTTTTTTTAACAATTACTTCATTATTGTTGTTGTTAATGTTATTTCCAGAATGACATATTTTTTCCATCTGAAATCAAATCAAGATTTAATGTTTGGTACAAACCCAGAAAGGGTATTTTATAGTTTAAACCTTCCATTCCCAGAGAACTGAAATATTATCTGTGGGTTTTGAGTTTGCATCTCCAAAGTACTTTTAAAAAAAAGTTTTATACGTAGGGAGAATTTTTTTTTTTTTTAAATATTCTTACTTGGAATGGCTGCAACGAATCTGAACAAATACTTCTGATTTTCTTTCTTTTACCACTGAAAATAGTACTTTCTCCATTTCACAAATGTAAAAAGAAATTCTAAGGTCAACCCACATTTTGGCTATCTGGTATTCCTTCCCATTTTGTTCTCACCAGGACTAATTTTCTATAACCCATTTTTCTGGGATGTACCAAAAAAACCTTTGAATAGATACAGAATAGCTAGAACCGGTCCTGGACTTTTCTTCGAATTTCATTACCCTCTCAGCATGCTGGCGGAGAGCGGGGTGGGCCTGTTCTCCCAGTCATAATGCTTATTTAGTGCTGTATTTTTAAAGCGTTTCTGTTCAAAAAGATTTGCTTAATCTTCCATATATTCTGCTCAGGGCACTTGCAGTTATTAGGTTTTGTGTTTCTTTTTGTTTTATAACCTTTGATGGTAAGAGGAATACGGGCTGCCACATCGACTTTGTCCTCATTCGTACCACTATTTACAGCCACTCATGTGGACTCAGAAAAACACACACCACCTTTTGGCTCACTTTGTGTATTGAACTAAGTGGATCCACAACACCAACACTAAAGTGGGAAGACATACACGGTTTGGAGCAATAGGAACATCATCATTTTCATGCTTCTATTTCAGGTATAGGAATTATAAGAGGATTGGTTCTTTCTAAACGTTGTCCCACTTCATTCTCCTGCTTTATTAGCATGTGCAATACTTTCCGTGCCAATAGAGTCTGATCAGTGTGCTCTAGCTGAAGCTCGCACCCTTTTGGCTTTTTCCTTGTTTGGAGGGAAGGAGCCAGGACGGGGAGAGCCTCCCACTGCGAGCTCCCCTCCGCTGCCCTGGATGCTGAGTGCTGGGCGGGAGCCTTCAGGAGCCCAGGTGTCTGTCGTCGATGCTGCAGGAAGAGCAAAGGAGATGTGGGGGACAAGCTGCAGTTCCCCTGTCACCATGAGGAATAGTGGATGTGGAGAGGAAGGAGGCAGAGTCATTTCTAAGGCGCACTCTGGAGCAATATTGCCAGGATCACCCCATTTTCCAGGCCCTTTTCCGCAAGTGGGCAGGCCCCTCCTCAGGTCTGTGTCCTTGAGACTTTGAGCTGCACCTCTGAGCCTGGGCAGGACGCGTGGCCTGGTGTGCGCGTGCTCGGAGCGCGAGGGCCAGCGGCTGCGGAGGGGGCCACCTGCGAACACTGCTCACCTCTCCTCTGTGGCAGCTTTCTCTTCAAATAGGAAGAACATCCAGGGGACAGGGAGCCTCCTCTTGTTTGCAGACACTGGGGAGTCTGAGGCTCCCCGAGCAGCCTTTGTCACCACTCCTGTGTAGCAAACCTAGCAATGACAGGCGTAGAAATTCTTCGGTGCCCTGCCGCTTACAAGGATCAGCCGTGTGCCTCTGTACTATGTCCACTTTGCAATATTTACTGACAGCCGTCTTCAGTTCTTTCTTCCCTGTTTCCCATTTTTAAACTAATAACAGCAGGCCTTTTGCGTTTACAATGGAACACAATCACTGAGAAATTAGTCAGGGTGAAAAGAAAAAATAGAAACCAACAAACAAGAACCTCTCTTCATAGGGATTTCTAAATATGGAAAATGACTGTTCCTTAGAATGTTTAACTTAAGAATTATTTCAGTTTGTCTGGGCCACACTGGGGTGGAGATAAACAGATGGGTGCCACTTACCTCAAATCTTTTGAAGTGGAAATCCAAATTGCATTTTCATTTGGACTTTCAGGATAATTTTCTATGTCAGTTTTCTGTTTTCCCCAACTCGCCCAGTTTGGTTTGGGACAGTTTGATTTTTTTCGTTGCTGTTGTCGATCCCATTTCTAACTCTGAATTGTGACCCTATGTGTTTTTTGTTGGGTGAGTGTGTTAGGTTTTTTCCCCCAGCAGGAAGTGGCAGCATCTTCCTTCTCCCCTACACGGAACTCTGCGGAACCTTTCACACCTCTTACTCAGGGACGGGGCTGGCGTGTGTGTGGTACACTGATGTGTCCAGAAGCAGCACTTTGACTGCTCTGGAGTAGGGTTGTACAACTTCAAGGAATGTTTGGATTTCCTGCACCTTGTGGATTACTCCTTAGATCCTGCATAGATTGCAATATAATGCTGCATGTTCACGATGAACAGTAGCTCCTAGTGATCATAAAATCCACTCTTTGCACATAGTTTGATCTTTACTGAAATGTGTTGCCAAAATTTATTTTTGTTGTAGCTTTGGAATTTTTTTGTTTGTTTGTTTTTTAAGGAAACAATTGACAGTACCCTTTAACATCTGTGACTACTAAGGAAACCTATTTCTTTCATAGAAAAATCTCAGATGCTTTTGAAGACACTAATGCCATGCTATTTCAGATTTGGGTGAAGAAGCAGAGCTCTTGGGACAGAAGGCCAGGCTTTTTGAGCTGTGTTGGTTGCCATGGCTACTGTTTCATGAACCGCAAGCAGCTCAACAAACTGTGGTCTGTTCTTCCTAAAACCCTTTGCACTTCCTAGTTCCTAGTCACCCGTGATAATTCCGGGTGAAAACAGGGCCGGCAGTCTCCGCGGCCCAGCCCAGCTTCTTTGGTGGCGATATGAAAGAAAAGGGAATTACGCTTTTTTTTTTTTTCCAATTCTTTAAAGTGGAGTGGAGGCCTTTGCTTCCACTTTTGTGTTTTCAACCCAGAATTTCTGAAATAGAGAATTTAAGACAACATCAAGTAATAAATATACAGAGAATATACTTTTTTATAAAGCACATGCATATGCTATTGTGTTGGGTTGGTTTCCTCTCTTTTCCACGGACAGTGTTGTGTTTCTGTTGATAGGGAAACTCCAAACAATTTGCACACCTCTACTCTGGAGCTGAGATTTCTTCTACATAGATGACCTCGCTTCAAATATGTTACCTTACTGATAGGATCTTTTCTTGTAGCACTAGACCTTGTGAGAATTTTCTTTTTCTTTTTAATGTACACCTAATTTGAGAAACTGAAGAAAAAAATTTTTGAGGCACTCACTTTGAGGAGTACAGGTAATGTTTTAAAAAATTGCACAAAAGAAAAAATGAATGTCGAAATGATTCATTCAGTGTTTGAAAGATATGGATCTGTTGAAACAATGAGTTTCATACCTTGTTTGTAAAAAAACAAAACAAAAAAGCAGCAGCATAAAGGTTGAAAGTTACATGTTTTTTTGTATATAGAAATTTGTCATGTCTAAATGATCAGATTTGTATGGTTACGGCCTGGAAGAGTTACCGCGTCAAAGGCTCTTACACTGCACCTATGCTTCCTTTACGTTTGTGTCCCACAGAGCCCCCTGCGGAGGGAGGGCGACTCTGTGTTCTACAGTTTGAAAATACTGTCCATTCCTATGCTGAAAGTACTTCTCTGAGCTCCCTTCTTAGTTTAAACTCTGAAGCCATGGCAACTCCTTTTTCTTCAGAAATGATGTTTGATATTTTCAGCACTTCCTGTTCCAATAAACCCAAAGAATACAATCCTGAACAAGAAGTGTTTGTAACAAGGGATCCTAGCTACCAATAAAACAGGACTCATTGCAAGGACATTTAAAAAAAAAAAAAAGTTCATTCTCTCCCCCCACACCTCATTTAAATGGGGGGGTAAAACAAGAAATTCAATTTAAATGCCTCATTTTACTTTAGTTAATTTTTTCTTTAATACTGAGGCCAAAATAAATGTGGGGCAACGTCTCAGAAGAGGCATACTCTGTCCAAAAATCAAGCCAGCCAGCGGATACTGGACAGCTGTGGGGACATTGAGCAAGCCCACCTACAATTCTTAAATTCAGGATCTCAGCTTCTCCCTTACCGTTAAATGCAACATTTCTGGTAGCTGACACTCACCTGTACGGTGGCGGGAGGGGACAGTAGCTTTGGTTTTGTGTCCTCTTGACTTGCATACAAACGGTTCAGCTGTATTAAAATTAAGTGCATTTGGCCAATAGGTAGTATCTATAAAATAATAGTCTCTAAGGATTTCCATAACTTATCTGAAAGGACTCAAGTCTTCCACTGCAGATAATTGGAGACTTTGCCCAAGTTTTCTTTCCCTTTAGTTTGTTCGTTTACTGTCTAGATGGCCAATGAGCCTGTCTCCTTTTCCATGGCCAGTCTGAAGGCCTCCGTTGGAAGCGTTGTTTACAGTAACCTTTGCTGAGGTAACATACTGTCCTCTGGAAAATCAGGTCTGAGGTGACACTAGCTCAGAGCTGTTGTCTTTAAAGAGCAGTTACCAAGAAGTCGGGTGTGTGTAGGTTTCCTCTGGTTCTCCCAGGAACCACCTACTCTTTAAGTTATGATCTGGTCCAGGGGTGGGGTGAATTCTTTAATCTGTGAACATTGAACTTGACACCTGTGCATTTGGTTCTGTGAATACTGCCCTTTTGGCCTCCGGGGGAGGTTTCTCCTTCCCCAGCCGTCACTGCTCGCCTGTAAATCCAAATTAGTGTCAGCCGAGGGGAGGTTTCAGGACAGCCCTAGTGTCCGTGGTGGCCTTCAGCGAAGACAGGGCCCTAGTTTATAGCCAGTGAGATCCTGGCCCCAGAACCTCTGAGATTCTGAGATTCGTCCCTCTGAATGTTTTAATAGCCGGTTATTACCCACTAAACCTCCAACCACATGCCTCCCATGGGCCAAGGGAAAAGAGACGCCAGAACTGTGAGGGCACTATCAGACTGACGTGGCCAGTACAGAGGAAAACTAGGGAAGGAGTGATGTTTTGCACCTTATTGAAAAGAAACTATTAAGTGCATACATAGTTAAGAGCTTTTATTGTGACAGGAGAACTTTTTTCCATATGCGTGCATACTCTCTGTAATTCCAGTGTAAAATATTGTACTTGCACTAGCTTTTTTAAAACAAATATTAAAAAAAAAATGGAAGAATTCATATTCTATTTTCTAATCGTGGTGTGTCTATTTGTAGGATACACTCGAGTCTGTTTATTGAATTTTATGGTCCCTTTCTTTGATGGTGCTTGCAGGTTTTCTAGGTAGAAATTATTTCATTATTATAATAAAACAATGTTTGATTCAAAATTTGAACAAAATTGTTTTAAATAAATTGTCTGTATACCAGTACAAGTTTATTGTTTCAGTATACTCGTACTAATAAAAATAACAGTGCCAATTGCAAATGTGTCTTTGCCTTATGTCAGGTCCTCAAAGAAAAGGTGAGGCCAAGGAAATGGGGGGAATTCCTCCTTGTGGACCCCACTGTCATCGCTCAGTAGGTTTGGGGGTGACAGAGGCATTGCCTTTACTCATGTTTTGGAGGGGGTAGGAGGGTAGGTCGTTGATGAGGTTCGGAGATGACCTCTGATGTCTTGTCTCATTCAGTTCATTGACTTCTACCTGGACTCCAGTGTTTACAAGAGAATTGTTTCTCAGCAGCATTTGGCAGCTTGGTGGGCTTCTGTAGCATTACCGATACATTTGGTACAGTTTTACTATGAGCTGGTTAGTGGTCTGAAGGCAGAAAGTTCACTTGTGTTTCTGGTAGTTATGCCTGTTAGAAACTCAACGTGCAGGGGGTACCTGGCACATGGAGGGGCCCCTGTGTGTCAAGAGTACTACACCCCACGTTTGCACTGTGCCATCTCCGAAACACGCGGCTCAGCAGTTGCCCCAGAAAAGTAACTCCTCAAGGAGGGACCCGTGTGACGTTTGCCACGCACGTGTGTTGCTATGAAATCCCTCCAGTTGTGAGGTCCTGCAGAGGTGGAAGAGAACTCTCGGTGCCCGGTTAGCCCAGGGAGGAAAGGGTGACTCTCCTCCTGTCTTCCTGGTAAGGTGCTCGGGGGCATCTCACCAGGGCCGTACTCTCAGGACTTAGGAGCTGAGGCCCTCACACGCCGTGAATGTTAGTGTGTGAAAGAACGTGCGTTAAACCAGCAGCGGTGAGGAGAGCCTCGTGGCCCGGACAGGAAGAGCTGCCCACGGCCCCCTCCTCCTCCAGAGCAGTCTGGGCGGACGTGCTGTGTGCGGGGGGCAAGGCTGGGGCAGCCGTCTGAATCGCTGCCTTCCCTGTTCTCATATTAGATGCTAATGGTTCTGACAAGCGTGGGGTCCAATGGCTGCGAGACTTATCTGGACTGGTCACACAATTAGGGACAAACCTTTGCTCCACCCGCCGTGGGAAAGGCAGGAGACTGTGAAGTGCACCGCCTGAGCCCCCAGGGGGAGGGCACCCAGTGCGCTGGCTCTCCTCCCCTCCCCACCTCCCCGCTGCTTCACCGGAGGGCCTGCAGTGGGCAGCGGGGCGCTGCGTCTGTCCGTGTCCTGTATGACACGCAGCGGGTCTGAGGGCTGCCCCCCTGCGGCGCCCCCAGGCCCATTCCTGTTGGAGGCAGAGGTGGACTGGCCACAGAGAGGGGTGACAGCCTTACAGGTGCTGCTTTTTGTGAAGCCTCTGCTTCAAAATGATTCAGAAGAGTATGTGGCTTTTTCAAGAACTCAGCTTTCACTTCCCTAAAAACTGGATGAGTGCGGGACCTGCCTTCAGTTGATTTTGGGGGATCCAAGAGCTAGCCTGCAGTCTTTAGGGGAGACAGGCAGCGCAGGCAGACAGGACTGCAGAGGGCTGCCCGGGGGGCCGCGCAGGCCGACGGGCACCCGCCCCCCGGCCCCGCCCCACCTGGCAGTACGTACGTGCCGCCCAGGAGGAGCCCAGCCTGAGGGGCCACGGCTAACAGCCCCTTACTACGGATTCCTGCTGGAACATTTTAAGGATTCCTTCAGATCCTCCTTTCCGTCACCTTTCCCCCTTATTTCCCAATAAAGGAACTTTAAGAAACATCAGGGCTTGCTGTCTATCGTGTCTCCCAGAGGCGCGGCGGGGGCTCACGCCTCACACAGGCAGCAGACAGAAAGGTCGGGGAGCCTCCGGCACAGCCCCACGTCCTGCTCGGCATTAAACATCCGCTTGACCCTCACGTCTCAAGGGTGTAGCCACTCGTGTTTCTAGAAGGATTATTCTTAATGGATAGCGGGAGAAATGGGTTACAATGGAGTTAGAGTTGCTGAATCTTTGAAACTGGGCCTCTAGTTCCGGGAGTGTGTGATGGTTTGGTCAGAGTCTTCCTATCGTGTCCCCGGCAATCATTTCGCCCTCGTACTGGAGTGGCCCTTCCTTTACTCAAGGGCCATGGCTTGCATTTTCAGAGAAAAATTTAACTCCTCTGTCTGCTTCTTTAGAAGTAAATGCGTACACCTGCCAGTCCTGTTCCTCAAGGAACGCTTCAAAAGCGGCCAGCCGCCATCCGTCCACCCCGCCCCCGGTGGAAACAAGCGCCTGCCCAGCCATGGGTCCTTTCCCCTAGAAACACCGGTGTTACCAGTGAGCTGACCGTCACCCAGGAGCACCGTGTGGTCCTTGCTTCAAAGTCAGTCACCACAAGGGAACAGTTTTAACTGTATTTTAAACCAATGTTTTAGGAAACTGCCAGTCGAGGTTTTTGCTGTTTTCTCAGTGGGACTCTGCCTGCTACTTTTTTGGTGGATAACCTTTCAATGAAATATCCTGTGGAATTTCATGAGTGTATAATAAGAGAGAGGCCAGCCTGGCAGGTTGGGACTCAGAAAGGAAGAGGAAGAGGAGGAGGAAACAAAATGAAGGTGAAAAACCAGGACAGGGACAACTTCCCAAAAGGAGCACCAAACTGGCAGGGAAAGATGGATGACCTATTCCCAAAAGCACGCGTAGCAAAGACGGTGAAAACACGTCACCACGCATCAAGAGTGCCCACAGGAAACCAATTCTTCAAACCCATCTGTGCTGTCGTTCTTCTCCAGCAAACAGGCTGGAGGGGGGTGATGCCCGGTGCTCTGACTGCACCCCCCACCAACCCCTGGGCCTGGACTTGGAGCCACGAGCATGTCTGGGGAGGAGACTGCAAACCCTAGCTTCACCTACAACTCGGTACCTGAAAATGCAAACTCCAGGACTCAAGTAAGTCTTAAGATAACAGCATTATATTAAAGTGAAACCATTTTCTTTTTTAAAAAGAAAAGAAAAAGGTAAGAGTGTTAGTTTTAACAATGAGGTTATGGGCTCTGGGTAGCTGGGCTCTGACCACTGACCCTATCAGTGCTCTGCTTCCCGGCCCCCCGAAAGGCACTAGGGGAGCCCCAGAGCCTCCAGGCGGCAGGAGGGGGAGGAGGCGGCAGCATTCCAGCATTCAGGAGCATCCGGAGGCGCTGATGTAACAGGAAGACAGTGTGAACGCAGTTGTGTGTGGAAGCTTCCATGAGCAGGATCGGCACATCATCCGCAAGGTTAGCTGAACACCGTGTTGTGCTGTTGGGTCACCCGGATGAACGTCGCCCTTCTGCTGAGCTCTTTGAGCTTGGCGGCCCCCACATAGGTGCAGGTAGACCTCAGTCCCCCGAGAATATCCAGAATTGTGTTTTCTACATCCCCTTTGTAAGGCACTTCCACAGTCTTGCCTTCAGAGGCTCTGGAAGAAAGAGGAAGTGCTCCTTTTAATCAGGTTTTTTCCTTAAGAGCCCAGCCAGAGTTATGCCCAGCTCAGCACCTGACACAGCCCCGGGGCCCTCGGGAAGCTAAATGCCCTCTGACCCCAGGCCCACACAGCTATGAATGCAGAGCTGACCTTGCCAGCCTCTCAGGCAAACACGGCCCTTCCGCCCAAAACGCACGACCTCACTGCTGGCCACTCAGAGCACCAGAGAAAGGCACGTCTGTCAGCAGCACTGGGAGAAGCACAGCCGAACCACCCTGCACCACGGCACTGCTCTCAGCAGGGGGCCTCCACTCTGCCCCTACAGAAACTAACTTCATCCCTCTACTCTGCCTTCGCCTGAACGCCCATCGCCGGCTGACCCAGAGCAGGCCTGGCGAGTTGCCTCCAGAAGGACCCGACACCACCACCTCGTCTGCGCACCAACAGAAGCGGCCCGGAGCTCCCCGCTCCTGCATGCCAGATCAGACCCCGAGTGTCTTCAAACGGGACACCCAAGAGGAGGAGGAGACCACCGATAAAATGAACGACTCAAGCCCTACCAGGTTACGTAGGAACCGCCACCAACAAGATACAGCGACTTCCCTCGAACGACCTGCCCTTCTAGGGCAGCCCTTTGCGGGACACATTCCCCCGGCTCCCTCCCTGCACCCGCCGCCCTGCGCGTGGTGAGGTCCCAGCAATGGTGGAACCGGCGGAGAGCTAAGGGCTTGCTGAGCGCTGGAGACCTGAGGGCTTTGGTGAGTGTCTTTCCTGTTTTCAGAAGAATATTTAGAAATTCCTATCTGCCCACAGGGCAAACATTAACATTATCTAACTGTCCTTGCTGAGTTGTCCCACTCTTTACAAGGCCACCATGCAACGCTGTCTGATTCTACACGTCAGGTCCCCATATGGCAAAATGGAGAGGCATCGCCAGAAGGAAGTCGCAAATCTACGTAAAATTCTGGCCCTCATCTAAGGGCCGGACAACCTGGAAGATGTAACAATTAAACAGATTGTTACCAGAACAATTCCTAGTTGGTCTCCACACAGAATTTCAAAAGGGCATTAACTCTCATACACCAAAATCTACACATGCAAGACATTCTTGGGTGAAACCCAGCTATTAAACCACTGCCTAGGCCAAGCTAGCCTAGTGGCTGGCTTAGAGCGCCACTATCACAAAGCAAGTCACAGGTCACATGCAAGATTGCTCATGTCACTGCACCCTGTGACCACAGACCAGCATCTATGCACTTGCGCTGGCAGTGACTGTCATTTAATTCTCTCAAGCCCCAGGGCCCTTCCTGGTGCTTATTGGAAATTACCCAGCTTCTCATCATTGCGTCTCTGCTAACTGGTGATGGCACCTTTTGCAAGTCATTTATTGTTAACGCTCAAGTCTTCTCATCTGTAAAACAAAGGTACTTTGATCTATCTCCCGCAGACAGCGTGAGAACTAAATAAATGGTTAATGACTGGGAAGGAATTAGCAAAGCATAAGTAACTCAGTCTTAATTAAATATAATGTCAAATAGGAGAACCATCCTTGTGAGGAGATAATGGGGATGAGGCTGCAAACAGTGAGTGGAAGAGGGGAGGGGGGGCCGGGGCGGAGGGGGGGAGAAGAGACAGAGTGCGGACAGATACAACCTGCAGGGCTCAGCCTGCCTCTGGATTAAGGTCCTGATTCCTTCGGCGCATCCCTTCCTTGTCTAAGACTCGAGTCAAGTCCAGACTGAATCTTAATACTCCTGAACATTTTCTGTTACGTCTAGACCCAGCTGAAATGAGAGGGGATGACTTTTCTTTCGGCCCTTGGTTTCTGTTCACACCGAGCCTGGCCCGGCTTCCCTCTCTGCTTCTCTTAGAACCCAAAACAGATGCGACAGCCAGGGGGCAAGACCGCACTCCAGGCAAAGCAGCCGGCTGCCGCCCAGTCACCAGGGCTCCGCGGACAGCCCAGTCCCTGGGAGACTGCGCGCCGCACAGACCAGTCGCCGTGGTTGCTGGTAGAGACAGAGCTCTTGGCTGGGGGTCCAGGGTAGCACTGAGGCAGCAGCCCCGCTTCCTCCTGCCCCCCTCCGCAAGCCTCGGAACACCCTCCATCAGTGACCGTGTGGGGCAAGGCCACTGTTCTCAGGCTGCATGGGAAGGAGGGCTCCCTTGTCCTGACCATCTGAGGCTGCCAGGGTGAAGGTGTGAATGTAGCCCCCTGCTCCCCTTTCCCACCCTGCCTTCCCCACACGGTGCTGTCTTCTTTATTGAGGTTCCCCCCAAAAGAGGAGAAGACTGGAGAGAATGAGAACTGAAGCCCCCCAGTGCCCCACTGAAGAACAGAACACGGGAGTACCCCACACTGCCCACCTGCCCGCAACCCTGGCGGGTTCTAATTTTTTACCTCTGGATTGGCTTGAGCCTTATGTAATGCATCTGAATCCCAGGACCTTACAATGAGCTGTTAGGTAGGGAAGACTGGGAGGAAATGGAGGGTGTCAGCCTCGGAGGGCCCGGGTTTCCATCCCAGTGCCTGAGGCATCCTGGAGAGGGGCAACTGGCTCTCTCACAGGGGACTTCCTTCCAAGGATCCACCACTCTCCGTCCCCTCCCCCTCACATGGCCTGTCATCAGCGCTAACCCCAATTAGAAGCAATAGCAGACTCTGCGGCCGGGCAAGGTCGTGGATACATTGTCATAAGGTTCTTAAAACACACATGCAGACAATTAAAATGGAAGTGATCTGTACACTTGAAACTTACATAATTTTATTAACCAATGCCACCCCAATAAATTCAATTAAAAATTTAAAAAGAAAAGAAAAGAAAATGGAAGTGAAATACAGGCCAAATTATCTTTTGGGATCAAGGATTTTTTAAGAAAGATAAGAAGTGAGCCTCTTTTTTGCAATGAGTGACAATTAAAGGGCTAAAAATACTGCCTGCGTCAACTGCCAGAGCCCGGAGGCAGGTGAGAGAGAGCCCTCTGTGAGCCGCATGGGTGAAACACAGCCTCCTTCCAGGAGGCCCGGCCCCCACGCCGTGGCCCAGACCACACCTGTCTCACAGGCGATGGCAGACCCACTCTTCGACCCAATCCCTGTGGCCGGGACTCCTGCCGGGCCAGAGATCGGAGGGCGGGCACAGTTCGGCCGGCACTCTCTCAGATGGCCAAGGCCGTGCCCTCCCTGCCCACGCCCTGGAATTCTGGAGCGTCACCCCGGGACTGGCTGAGTAGTAGTCGCACCTACTCACGCTTCCCCCCTACTCACATTTCCAACCCGATCCAAACCACTAATGGTCTCCCTGCCTTTTGAAGGCCCCACACACTACAAATACTAGTTGGGTAAAAAACAGGGCTAATTAAAAAGAGCACGACAGGTTTTCTAGCCCGTTGCCATGGCACTTGAGGGTGTCAGAAGCGAGAGTCTCCGAGACCTGCTTCCACCCCGTTTCTGTAAGAAGCAGGAGAAAAGTGAGTGAGTCCTCGCCAATGAGAAGCCTTCGCCCGCCCCTTACCTGTACTCGGCTACCCCTCCTGCGTGCTTCTTCATTGCTGTTTCGGAGCTCATCCCGTAGAAGAGCTTGAGCTTCTGCCCATTCCTCTCGATCACCTCTCCAGCACACTCGGTGTGGCCCGAAAACATCCCTCCTAGCATGACAAAATCCGCCCCGGCTCCTAAACGCCAGTCGTGGGGACAAAAGGAAGCAGCAGAGAAAAGAGCTCAGAGAAAGTCGGCTCCGGAAACATCCAAGTGCTACCCCAACTCACCCTGCCTCCTCCTAGCTACAGTCAACAAAAAAGCTCAACCTCTCCCCCTGGGAAAAAGTTTACAAGGGTTCCTTTTGGAGGGAGTTGGGCACTGGACACTCAGGAGACGCATGCGGCCTCCTGAACGGTGGCGGCTAACACACTGGGCAGGCCTTAGGAGTCAACGATGATGACCCTCCCATGGTCTAAGTCTTTTAGAATCAGGGAAACATTAAAAATTGAGCAGCATTTCAGAGAGCATGCTGTCCAATCTTATACCTAATGCAGTAAGTCCTCTACAATGTCCCCATCAGGCCTCTGGTCTGCCTGAGCTCTCGGCACGCACTCTGTGTAGACCATGAGAAGTCCTCAGAACAGACTGAAGCTCCTATTCTAGGGACTGGGCATAAAGGCGAGAAATCTAAACATGTGCATGTATGCACGTAGAGACAATACATTGTGTGAAACTTTACCTCACCTCTGTCGTGATAAATATTTGACTTCCAGAGTAAATAATATCCCATATTAATCACCTAATGACATGCAACTTCCCAGCTAAGTACAGAGGAGACCGGGGTATTGAAGTTGTCTTTGTAGGTTGGAGCAGGACCGGGAACAGCTGGCCCCGCAGGGCTGGCTCACTGCTGTGTCCCCAGGGTCTGTCACAGCGCATGGCACATGGCAGATGCAGAGCGACTAGCTGTCAGAAAGTAAAACGTGTATGTGGAAGAAAGAGAAACAGCCCCACGTCCCGTCCTGTCCACGGATAACTGCAGAGAGGCTCTCCACTGACCGCCACAGACTGTGACAAACCGCCCCAACCATTCCTCCCGGGTGAGTCCTCGCGAGGGTGCACATTCAGAACACGAGGCTACCAGGGTGCAGATGTAGTACGTAACAAGGATGAAGGACAAGGGGGAGCAAGCACAGGAACCCCTGAAAAGCAGCCTTGATCTCTGCCATCTGGTTGTTTAAATATTCATAAGACTCTGGCTGTTCAGGGCGGGCCCCTGGCCTGCAGTCAGGCAAAGCAGGCACCACAGGACCTTTCCGCTTGGTGACAAGCTTTGAAGGCCATTCCTTGCACGGTCCCCAGCACACATGCTGGCCCCCTAGACACCCCACCCCCGCCATGACTATGAGGGAGCGAGACAACTGGAGTCCCACAGGCTGCCTGAGGGCCACAGCCCTGGGAGCGGGCGTAAACACAGGAACACAGCCCGGACCCACTCAGACAGCACTTTGAAGTGGCTTCTCATTGCTTTTATTTCTGAACACTCTCACGGTCTTTCCGAACTCACATTTTCCCTAACTTGGTCCCCGCCCCTTACGCTCGCTTGGTTCCTGGCTGCACCCACTGGAAGGAGAATGGATGAGGAAAAGACACCAGGAACGTTGTCCAGATCTGTGACCTATGAGGCTCCTTCTTTAGGACCTGTCACTTTAAAGTGTGCTCAACTCCCATGCTGAGCAGGAAGGGTGCTATTAGCAGGGAGCCCCAAGTGGCACACCCATCAGGATGAAGATGGTACTCAAAAATCAATAGTAAAACTGTCCTTGGCCGACAGTCCTTAAGGGGAACGGAGCACGTGAGAATAGTTGGAGTCCTGTGTTTTCCCTGCTCTGCCTCTGACTTTGTCACTTGCCTCTTGGAGCTCTGTCCCCTGGACAGTCTCCAGGGTTACTGCAAGCCCAGCCTCTGAGAACACTGACCCATGTTTCCTTTTGTCACTACCAGTAGTGGTTGTGTTTTTTTAAGCCAATGCCTAACCCAAGACATTCTATGGGACATACTCAGAACCAGGGATGAAGAATCATGCGGACAGAATCACTGAATGCAGACACAGAGAAAAGCCAAAGTTCGCAAAGGTCAAGGGGCAGGCACAGCATGTTCAGATGATGGACTTCCAAGTGCTTTCCCAAGAAAAACCCAGGATACCCTGACTTGACCCCAGGTGCCGGCCCCACCGGCTCGCAGCTGGACACTGCGGCCCCCTCACAGGGAGCGGGCTCCTCAGCGTCCAGTAAGAAACTGCTGCTGGGAGGCCCGCCGTCCTGTGCGGTTTCCCCCAAGACGCTCCCTGCAGCGGCTGCATATCGCACCTGGTACTGTCCTTTTCCGCAGGCGCCCTGGGCCTTCTCAGCCGTGACGTCTGAGCTGCGACTTCACCCACCCCTGGCTTGCAGGATGGCATCCCTAGATCTGTCCCCGGGAACTCGGCCTGCTCTGCCACCCGCCAGAGTGAAACCGATGCCAGAATCTGTGCCAGTTGGGCCTGAAATCCAGGGAGAGGGCACTCAGGCCTGGCCGCAACGTCCCTGCAGTTCCCACTGCCTCACTCCGATCCCTCCCCGTCCCTGTCCCCACCCCGTGGTGCCCTGCAGCTACGGGGAGCTCCCTCCTCCCCCATGCTCCTTACCAAAGGCTTTGGCGACATCTCCTGGACACGTGCAGCCTCCGTCCTTCAAAGAGGGAAACAGCAAAGAGGGTGTCAGAGGGGGCTCACCCGGGCTGTCCCTCTCCCCGGGGGCGACAGGGAGTTGATACCCCTCCCCACCCCTCAGCCAAGCACATAACCCTCAGAGCCAAAGCGCAACACTGCCCTGAACAGGCACCTTGCAGCCCCCAGCCTGCCCACCGCCCGGGAAGCTGCTGGGCGCAAAGAGGGGCTCCACCTCGGCCTCTTCCAGCCCCTTCACAACGTGCCTCCAAGTTCATTCTCATCCAGTAGTCACCTCTCCCCACCTGCCTGGCGTGAGATGAGATTTATTTAGTACAAGAGCTGAATTATTTTAAGAGCCAGGAAGGACACCGAGTCAGTTCCTTTATATTTCCAGCCACGCCGTGTGTTTCTAATTCACCTTCATGTACTGCTGCCTTAGTCCAACGAGCATTCCTGACACCCACTCTACCCACCTGGGGCTGCCTGAATGCCTAGCAGGACAGTCTGTTCTTGGGCTGCCAGCCCGGCTGTGGGGGTTGTGTTTAAACACCAGGAACACAGCACCAGGTGTCCAGGATGCAAAGTCACTGGGCTCCCTCACAGACACAGAAGGCACAAAGTAGCCAGGCTACCTGCTATTTGCGATGTGGCCTGGGTGCGGCCCAAGGAGGCAAAGGGCGGTGAGGGCGGCCTGGCAGCCAGATCAGACCGGGAGAGGCAAGGAAGCCAAGACACTGGGCAGGCAGGGTTGGTCTCCGGGCTGGGGACATGTGACGGAGCCCAGACTCAGTGTGGATGCTGGAGAAACACCAAGGTCTCCGAGGGAAGTGCCTGTCCCCAGCAGGTAGGAAGAGCATCGAGCGGCCGTCTGGCACTGGGAAGAACACAGAAAACAAAGGCCACCCAGACCACCTTGCTTCACAACTGGCGGGAAGGTGGGTGCACCTCTGGAGCTGGAGGGTGTCTACGCGGAACTGGAACCACTTTCTGAATAGCATCTCCAACTGAGGAGGATGGGGGCCTCTGGGGCTCAACCCTTTTTTCCTTCCTGCTATTCAGGCCTGTCACTCCAGGACCTAGAACTCAAATGCTGTCTTGTGACGGCTCTGCAGTTCTGAGCAAAAGGCAGGTATGAAGGCTCAATCTTATCCTTCCATGAATATTTACTGACTACAGGTATTTCCTGAATCAAGTGTGCTATTCGTGTGTGGCTTCTCCGACCCCCAGACGACCACAGCCTCTGCACTGACGACATGTGGCACGGCCCCCAGCTGCACACAGCAACATGGCTGGTGGCTCTGTACATCCAGTTAGAGCTCCAAAGCTCCGGAATACTTACCTGCTCTTTCAAAGGTACCACCCCACGTGCCCTCGCATGTCCTGCCAATTATTTTTAAAGTGCTTTACCTCTTTATCTAAACCAGTTCTATACAACAGGCTTTCAAACTTATAACCTCAAAAGGTGAAATAAACTCATGCTCCTGTTAAATATCGGTCCCTAACGTATTTGCCTTTAAACACACACACATGCCCTGTGTCTCTTGCTCAACTTGCTCGTGAGTAGGTTGTGACTGTGAGGGTGTCTTGTGGGGGGCCCTGAAGTCCCACATTATCGTGGTCAGTGGTGAGTCCTGCCTCGAGAAGGCCTGTGTTCCTGGGACTCGAAGAGAGTGGGCTCCTGGGGTGGGCTGAGATGTCCCCCCTCCACAGGGCCTGGTGACGTGCTGTGGGGAGGAAATCATACTTAATCGTCTGCTCACCCGGTTTGGGGAAGGCCTGTGAAACAGACAACGCAGACCAACCCGCTGGGCTGCACACGTGACCCACTGCAGCGACCCAACGTCACATCATGCCGTAGGGCACAGGAATCGGCTCCCTGCTACCATTTAATCCTCACTCCAGGGTATGTTTTTATTGATTTTAGAGAGGAAGGGAGAGAGAGAGAGAGAAACATCGACGAGAGAGAAACATCGGCTGCCTCCCGTACGCGTCCCACCCGGGAATCAAACCCACAGCCTTTCGGTGTACCAGACAACACGCCGACCAACGGAGCCCTCCATCCAGGGCTCCCTACTGCCATTTCCAGGTAATTTCCACAAGTTGTTCAAAGCAAGATTGCATGTTCTCAGGAGGCAGAGCAATAGGCACAACGCCCTCCCCCACTCCCCCTGCAATCAAAGACACTTACGCTCATCATAGCTACACGAAGCTGGTTTTTTAAAAAACAGTGTGCAGTGCTTGCTTTGGCAGCACATATACTAAAAAAAAGTGTGCATATACTCAAAGGGTTACTTGTTTTGTTTTTCAAAACTGTTAACATTATATTTTAGTAGGAAAGGCATCACATTACATGAGTGGTGACTGGATCTGTGAACTGTCAGCAGACCTCCTCTTCTTAAAAAAAAAAATACCTGCTCATCCCTACAATAAGGGGTAGCAAAAGCAAGCCTGGGGTCAGCAGAAGAAATCTGAATCAAGCACCTACTATGAGCCAGGAACTGTTACAAATTTCTTTTTTCTTTTTTTTTTTTATTTAAACACCACCAGAATCTGAAGTTGACATTTTGTAGGTGGGGGCGGGCGTGGTGAGAGAGGTTCGGAAAGGCTGAGTGACGTGCCCAAGGTCACACAGCTATACTAACAGGACAACAAGATTAGAAGCCTGGTTAAGAGTAAACTCTACAAATGTCTAGAAGCATACCTATAAAAGCATTAGCAGTGGTTAGTTCTAGTCATATTTATTTTCTTTACCTTTATTTGTATTTTCTAACTTTTTTTAGGCTAACTCTATTTCTGTTGGGGAGTTTTTCAAGCCTAAGAAGTTGTTTGAAAGAATTTGTTTAGGTCTAAGTAAAGGTCTAGCTGTTCCTAAAGTACCACATTAAATCAATAAAATTATAGGATTTGCTGTTGAACCTCTACTCCTTTGCCAAGGGTCAGCGAGGGGATGTGAGCGCTGACGGGGTGTGGGAAGGAGGGGCTGGGGCTGCTTCGAATCAACCCAACCCTGTATCGTTAACAGCCCCTCACAAAAGCAGGCCTCCTCAAATTGATAAGCACGTTCTCTAGGTCTCTACAAAATACACTGATTAAAATGTTGAAATAGTGTAGAGAAGAGACAACCATAATCCCAGTCGGCCTAGTCACAGGACTTTTTTCCGGTCCTGTGATGCACTACGAAGTCCAAGCCTTTTTGGTTCTTGGCTCCGATTGCCCCCTCTCCCATCGTTCTGCCGGGGTAATTCTTGACTCTGCACTGAAGATGTGCTTGAGCACTCTGAGGGGAAAGGCCTCGTGTGAAACAGATTAAGCTGAAGTCTCCCAAAGCAACGTGGTGGGAAAATGAGCAGCCTAGGGATCCTGCGGAACCTGCATTCCCTGCAGCTTCCGCAAGTCCTTCCCCCTCTTGGAGCCTCCTCGTTTCATGAGGGCGGTCAGTGGAGGCCGCGGGACGATGGAGATGGACAGACTCCGGTCTGAGTGCAGGCTCTGTGCCTACCAGCCGCGTGACGCTGAACAAGTCACTGAAGGACTTGAAGCCAGTTTTCTCACCTCGTATGATTGTTATTTGTATGCGCCAATTTGTCTGGGCCATGGAGTGCCCAGATGTTTGATTAAACATTATTCTGGATGTTTCTGTGGGGGTATTGGTGGATTAAAATCAGTAGCATGAGTAAAGCAGGTTGCCCTCCCTAATGAGGGTGGGGCTCATCCAATCAGTTGAAGGCTTGAATGGTACAAAACGGCTGACCCTTCCCAAGAGAGGGCATTCTCCCTAACTGACTACCTTTGAACTGGGAAATGGGCTTCTCCCTGCCTTCTGATTCCAATGGAAACAGTGGCTCCTCGGTGCTCAGGCCTGCAGACTCGGACGGGAACTCTACCGTCAGCTGCCTCCAGCTTACCAAGTCCTGCAGATTGGGGACTTCTCACCCTCCATCATTGCCTGACCCAAGTCCTTATAATAAATCTCTCTCGCCACATGCACACACATGATTAGATGTTTCTCTGAAAACCCTGACTAATACATCAAATAAAGATAACAGGTACCTTGTCATGTTGTTCCAAGGATTAAAGGTTATATGTATGTTACGCCTCGCAGATAGTAGATGCTCAATAAATGACAGACATTATTTCCTCCCAAGCTGTTCCCGCCTTTCCAATTCTCTCCTTTGTGTGATGTCCCTAGCAGATAACAAGACAAAACTAACTGGTCATACCATAATCTTCACCTATGCGGGGGGGGGGGGGGTTAGGGGGGATGGGGGGGGGGGGGACATCCTGGATTTTTCAGCTCTGTGCCTCTCAACAGCCCATGTGGGCCACAATAAATAGAAACCTGATTCCAGTCCAGCCTCTTGGGTGTAAACACCTGCAGAACAGACTCTGTGCTGTGGCTTCTTTCTGAACGTCACCAGCACGGATGTGCCAATTCAGCAACTAATGTGTGAAATGAGACAGCTGAAAGGAAATTGGACAAAGTGGCAGGATCCAAAACATCTGATGGGCTGCCAGCGGGTTTAAGACTGCTGGCACGGAGAAGAAAACTACTTGTGAAACTCCATTAGTCAACAGGATGGTAGGGAAAATGGTTGCTTTGAACTCCAAGACACTTGGCTGGTTAGAAGAAATGAGCTGGCCCTGACCAGTGTGGCTTAGTTGGTTGGGCGTCATCCTGCAAAGCAAAAGGTCACTGGTTCAGTTTCCAGTCAGGGCACATGCCTGGGTTGTGGCTTTGGTCCCTGGTTGGGATGTATGCAGGAGGCAAATGATTGATGTTCCTCTCCCTCTCTTTCTCCCTCCCTTCTCCTCCCTAAAAATAAATAAAATCTTTAAAAAGAAAAAAAAAAAGAAGGAATGAGATGAAGTTGAGTACAGACCCCTATAAGTCTGTGAACTTCATTTAATCATTTGGCTACAAATTAAACTTCTAATCGCATCTAGGAAATGTCTCACTGTTAATGGAAAATGAAAAACCCAGAGCACCAGCAGCACAAGCCTGAGCTGTCATTGCCCCTAACTGACAAATTCAGAGCTGCTCCCTGGCCCTGACGGACGAGACCTGACTGGAGCAATGACCTGACCTATAGAAGCCAGGGGTTCTCAGTCCTGACAGCACATCAGGCTGACTTGGAGGGCTTGTTAAAAACAGATTCCTGGGCCTCATCCTCTGAGTTACTGATTCGGGTCTGGATGGGGTCCGAAATTTTCTAGTAAGTCCTTAGCTGATACTGATGCTGCTGGCCTGGGCACCACACTTAGAGAACTGCTGAAATAAGCGGTAAAGTAGGTGTGCTGTGTACAGAGATCCCAAATGGGCTTCCAATCGGTCACCTGGTACCAGCAGAGCCTCCACCCCCGCTGACAAATGGCCCCGTAAAATTTCTAGAAAGGCACAACTGTGGGATCTTAGACTACATTCATAGTAAAACTATTAATTTGACCTCCACTGATTTGGAAATGGTAGCCATTCAAGGAATGGCTATAATACAAGGTCTACATACTGATTAAGATTCTTGATGGTAATAGAGACTTATGACTGATTACATATGATGCTTTTAGGGGCCAATGTCCATGGGCTGAATTCACTAGGATGGGGTCCAGGAATGTCAACTGTAAGAAGCTTCCCTGGTGCCTCTCCTGCAGTCAGCCTACAAGGCTACAGTAAGCCTCTGAGAACCACTGGCATCTTGGAGAAAGTGCAGTCTTGAGACTTCTCGCTCAGTCACTTCACTCAGCAAATGAAGGACAGCTTCACGTCAGCCTCTTACACACTAGTTGTTCAATAAATGAGTGTTAGTCTGTTCACTGTGGCAAAAGCTAAAGGGACTGGTATGGAGTGGAGGGGCTTAGAACTCTGCCTACAACCAACCTTTAGTCATTACCAGCTTCTAGAACAATAGTAGATGCTGCTCTATAAAGACTTGCTGTCCACATGGATGGGTGGATGGAAAGCCTGGATGAAGAATGAGAAGGAGCACACGGGCAATCTGCATTGGACCCCGAGTTAAGGACCCGGCTCCCAGCTTCAGTTGTTACCTGAAGATCACGTTGGGGGAAACAACAGCTACAGCTCACACGCTGTGGCAGGGCTCAAAGGAGCAAACGTGCCTGCGGGAGTATTAGCACACCCTGGAAGCAGGTCCAGAAGTCAAACCCCAACAGGCTCAAAGGCTGAGCCGAAACCAGCAAGGTAACCTTTGGCCAGGACATGTAATTCATTGTATTTGGACTTAAAAAAAAAAATAACCCATTACTTAATGTGGGCACACAGGTTAGGAATGGTACAACTGAAAAGAAATGAAGATTTAATTTACTATATTCCATATGAGTCCACTGTTACAGAACCACTAAAAATATGTCACTACTTTAGAATTTGTAAAAAACAAACAATACACACATGTATCACCCACATAAGAGGAAGCCGTAGTTCTATCCAAGTCTGTCCAACTATCTGACGTGTCCTGTCCTACTCTGATCATCTCACGCAGAAGGGAAGAGACATGAAAACCCCCATCAACTGTCTGAATTGCGCTCACGTCAATAAGGTAGAGCAGAATTACAGATAAATTGAGGATTTCAACTTGACTTTCATTCAATCCTTCATATTTAGTGTCTGAGTACTTTATTGCTGTTCTTCCTGAAGCTTCATGAAAGTGTTGTTAGATCACTGCCCCTGCCTCTCCTCCCCTCCTTCCCGTATGTGTCTCAACCTGCAAAAACCTAACCTCTGCCCCCAGCAGGCCCCGGAATCTGTTCTCGCTGTGGTAACTGGTGACCCCCTGCTGGCATCTGACACCACCGCCACTGCGGCTAGCTAAGATGAGGTCATCCTGAAGCAATACGACGGATGTTCTCATAAAAAGGAATCATTTGGACACAAAGACAGACAAGCACATAGGGAGAACACTACATGAACACTGGAATAATGGTGCCACAACCCAAGCAACCATAAGAAGCTCACGGGGCCTGGAACCCAGCCTTCCCTAGAGCCCTCATGACCCTGCCGACACCTCAATTTCGGACCTCTGGCCTCCAGGACTGGGAGACAATATATTTCTCTTAAGGCCCCAGTTTGGGGTGGCCATCTCAAAGCTCCCCACGGACCCCTCATCATGCTACCGACCACTTCAAGGACTTACTGACCAGAGTTCTTATTGACCAGTGTGCCCGCCTTACTCGCTGCAGGATAAGCGCGGAGTAGGGCCTGTGTCTCTGCTGCGACCGCAATGCCCGCTCACTTCCAAGGCCGCAGGATGCCAGCAGGTAAGTGGCAACAGCAAGCAGGGCTCCCTCAGGGCCAGGAAGCAGGGCCCTGCCATCCCGAGCGCCTCTGTGATCGTTCCCCCTGCCCCGCTTGGACACTTACAGAAATGATGTGGCCCTTCAGGCCATGGGCAGAGTCAGCGCACTCAATCACGGCACTCAGCTGGGGGTAGCCGACCCCGGTCTTGGTGCGGGTGGTGCACACGGAACCTAGATTAGGGAAGAAGTGAACCCAAAGAGAGGCGATCCATGAATGAGCAGAATGGGACCCAAAATGAACGTCCATCACTGTCACACAGCCCTACCCAATTTACGGGGGGTGAACCTTCCACGGCAGAGGAAAGGTGCGAAGGGAAGGGCAGCCCAGCAGCTCGCCGCAGGTGGTTCTAACCACGCCATCAGGCCCTCACCCCGTCATCTGCTCAAGTCTAAAACAGATTCCACCCCGTAAGCTGCCACCGTTAGTGTCCCCTATGGCAGCTCCCCCTTCACGGCTCGGCACTGATTCGCCACACTTACACCCCCGTTCCTTCCTGCTGCCCTTCACACCACTGCACTGTATTTCCAGGGGCCCCTACATTCCTCCCACGGCCTCCAGCCTTCTTTACCTTCAACTTCTGTCAAATTACTAACTTCTCTACACTCAGCTCCTCACCTGTGAAATGGAAATAAAAACAGTGGCCTCACAGGGCTGTGGTAGAAGTGAAATGGCATGAGGAGTGAAAATCATCTGGCCCAGAACCTGGCGCTAACCCTATATCTGCACCCTCATTCTCTCCCAGCTCTGCCCTCGACACACCCTGCTCATTACTCCTCATGACCTCACAGTCCATCTCCAGCCCCGTCCGGAGTCCCCGTCCAGCCTGGACTCTGAAGTCGGCCACCTAGATGCCTTCGTCCTTTTGACCTCTGTCTTCCCACAGTCAGGGCCGGTCCTCATGGACCGTATGCATTATGGTCCAAGCCGCGTCATGCGCGAGGCGCCAGCATCTGCAGCGCGTCTGCGTGCTCAAGACCCGCCCTTCCCTCCGGGTGAGGACCGGGTGAGCACCGCTGCTCCGAGACCACCTACATCCAACTCCCGAACGTGTACTCTCTTCTCCCACCTTCTTTTCTCCCCGGCCCACTGACCACGCTCCAGACATGCTAACACTTTACTTCCTCCTGCACAGCGAGTTTCTTTCCACCTTAGGGGTTCTCTGTACATGATGCTCCCTCTGTCCAAACACTCCCCTGTGTGCCAACACCCTGGTCTTGCCAAACCTTTCTCATCTTTCAGGTTTCATCTTAAACGTCACTGCCTCCAGGAAATGGTTTGTCACAGCACCCATTTCTAAAAGAGGCGTTTAAGTAATGATTTGTGTAAGAACGGAGGACCTGTTTTCTCTGCTGCATGGTGAACTCCCCAGACGTTCACTGCTGTAGAGTGCTGAGAACAGAGCCCCATACACAAGGCGCTATGGAGAGTCACTGAAAGAATGTATGAGCTCAAGAATGAATGAGTCATCCACATCCCTGTCCTCACTGTTTTGCCATCCGACAGTCCCTCCTGGATGCCCTATGATGCAGGTGATGAAGTGCCCTGGAGCCAGTGTAAAAACTGGGCCAGAAGTGGGGGTGAGGTGCTTTGAGCCCCCGCCTCCTCTCCTGCTCCCCCCACCACCAGTGGCTTCACAGCTTCCCGCAAACGTCTCCCAGGGGTCCTTAGGGACAGGTTTAGACAGAGAAGCATGTCGATACTCCCAGGCCTGGCTTCACCAGGAAGACAGGACCGGGGCCCTTCTCCTACATCTATTCCGCTGCAGGTCAGGATCCATCTCTCTATGTCCATTCCTGCAACACTTGTTGCTCACAACCCTGGAGCCAACGAGTGTCTCTCCCCACCCTCTGCCCCAGATGTGCACTGGGGCAGAACTAGAGTTCTATAAACTGGGTCAAAATGGCTTTCTTCCCTCTCCCCCACTCCACTGCTAGATCCTCAAGAGAAGGAAGTAGCCTTGGCTGTAGTAGCCTGGAGCTCTGCACAGATGAGGGACAAGGTATAGGAGCGATCTTTTTTTTTTTTCTTTACTATTAAATAATTATTCAGATTTAGTTTAGGTTAGAGTTGAGCTTTTTGATGTAGACATTCCACGTAGCTGTTCAGAGACCTCAAACAGTCTTTTCCTCAATCAGAGCAGTGAAAAGATCCTAAATCACACACTTTTGACAGCCTGTGAATATAACATGTTTTTGAAAAATGGATATCTGATTTGCCGCCTTCACTTCTAGCTTCCGGATCTACTTTGAGGACGGCACCTACTCAGGGTCTGTGAGTTCTGCAGGCCCTCAGGGGATGCTCCGTACCCACAGCCCAGAGAACTCCTCTCCAGAGGCAGGCTCCTTTCCCAGCTATCTGGGGGGTGGTCTTGATGAACCCCTAGGTTGGAGGGAGAGACTGGGCACATATTTTCTCCCAGTTATAGGGACAGGGGTGCCCCTTTTCAATGCTTTTCCCAGTTCCTGGGAGTTGCTTAATAGCAAATCTTTTTTTATGCCGTCATTTAGATATGCAATATTCATTGTTTTTACTCCTCCAGTCAACTTAAAAATGAGGTTCCAATATATCAGGCTCAAAGGGAGCCTCTTACTCTCTTCAGTCACGTCTCTTCTAAACAGACAGCCTTGGAGTCACACAGTGACAGCAAAAGGACAATAAAACCTTAGGAGAAACAGAATGTATACATACAGAGGATATACATAAAAAAGCGAGGGCAGCTAAATGCTCACGATTACATCAAGAACAACGCCTTGAGAGCCGAGAAGATTGCTTACACACCTTCATGTCCTATACAGCACCCACCCTGCACGATGGCAACTACGACACACCCAGCACATATTTCTGATTAAATAAGTAACTGGTGACTGCCCTGCCTTTTGTCTTCCTGGTCTATTACCAGCTTGTTCTATTCTCTTCAAAGCCTGGTCTATGACAGCCTATCCTAAGTGGGAGCTCCTTGTCATCAAGGCCTGGGCCTTGTCCTTTCTTCAAATTTTAACAAAGAGAGACACTCAGTAAAGACCAGAGTTGTCTTTTCCTTTCCTCCGAGTATGTTACAAACTGGCTTAAGTGAGTGGCAATATAAAAAACCCAATCCTGACAATCTCCCTGTGTGTTCAAAGCTTGGTGCTTGGATGAGCCTACAGGCTTCTTCTTCCACAACAGCCCCCTCGTGTGCACCTTCCCCTCAAGGCTGACAAGTGTGCAAATCACAGCCCCACAGTGTCTTCTCCCAGCAGCACTTCATCACATTCTTCTCCCGTTAGTTATGAGTTGCTTCCTTTTTCAGTAATGCCTTTGGATAAGCAATATTTTTAGGTCTTTGCTGTTTTTTAATCCCAATTGAAAATATACACCTTCTTTCCTTCTCTCCCATTTTAGTGTCTGGTTAACCATGAATGTGAAGGAAGAATTTAAAAATGTGGAAGCTCCTGCTCGGGTGCAGCCAAAGGGGACACCAAACATCAACTGGCCCCGAGAGAAATGGGCCTGCCAGTGTAAGGACAGAAAGGCTCTGCCTTGTTTCCTGACTCAAGATGCCAATGGGCGGTCCTAGGAGAGAATGCCCAAGAGCATATGGTCAAATCGGATACGGACGTGTATCAGGTGAGGAGCCAAAGGTGATAACTACCCGGGCCATGGGTCAAGTTCAAATGCGGCCTCCCAGCTGCACGTGTATTTGCAATGTTTGGCATCTCTCAAACACTCACAGAAACTTGAGTTATTCATGTCCATTAACTGTCCCATGGATTCTTCACCCTTCATCTTCCTCTTCACGGTAAATATAGTCATTAATGAAATCTGCATTTTCTCTTCCACAATTACGGTGCGCACATTCTAACCACATCCAAGCTCATTTATCAGTTCCCTGGGGGCGGCATCAAGATAGCAACTCGATGACATTTCTAATGCGGAGCTTCTTCTGAAAGCTCAGTAAGAGTTCCAAAAGAAATGTGCTTTAAACTTAAGGATGGGTCACTCATGAGCTCCCTTGTGGCCATCTCCGACCTCCGTGAACCCAGGGTTCCATTTCTCCCCCCACACACCCTCCTCTGTTGTTCTCCGAGAAAGTCTTACCTGGTCCAACTCCCACTTTGATTATATCTGCTCCGGAAAGAATCAGCTCTTCCACCATCTCTCCTGTCACCACATTCCCTGCCTGGGACAAGAAAGACAGCTCACAATCGTGAACTACTCCTGGTGGTACAAGGACAAATAATAAACTCCACAACTGGGCAGAAGGGTAAGCATGTCCTGAAGCCACCAGGCAGTCAGGGACCTTTCCCCAAAAAAAAAAAAAAGTAGGGAAGTAAAACATTGGATCCAATAGGAGCCAGAATTTAACACCTGGAGGCTACATTTGGGTAAAGCACAAACTCTATGGTTTTAGAACTCCAAGACCTTAGACTATCTAGGTCACAACTTTTTGAACATTTCAGCAATGGGTGGACAAAATAAAATCTTAACCCATTTACATAAAAGAAGCAATGCAACACTCTCTCAGCTGATTAAAATCTTTATTGTTGGGCATAAAATGCTTCACAGATCGTAAAACCCCTGAAAAATCTTTCTGGAGCCCCACGGGCCAGGATTAGAAAACTACTGGTCACCTCACAGTTGAGAAGATACCTGGGTGTCCCGCCCAAGGGTCAGAGGTTCCCACCTAGATAGAAAAGGGAAGACAAGCCCTCATGGACCAACAACGCTGGAACCTGCTCCATTTTCAGAACATGAAGCTGTGACCCTAAGAATATACATATAGACCAGGAAGTGGCAGAATCTATAAACCAGAAGGATCCCTGTGGGCTGCAAATAGCACAAGCACTTTCACTGTAGGAGTCTGGGAGCTCAAAAATAGCCCTTTTTATTACAACTTACTGCCCTGTGGATTCTTCAGCTGGTGCACAGGAGACTTGGCAAGATGCCTGACTAAATTTTCACAACTGTGCAAAGCCTTATTTTGAGAAATGCATCCCTACTCATTCTACTCATTTTTTTTTTAATATTAAAGCCCCACTATCCTTTCACTGAATTGATTCCCAGAGGGAATTTTTCTTTTTTAAACCTAGACAAAGTAACTTCTAACTTTGTACAAAAGGATCTTGGCAGAGGGCGATAAGGAGGGCTCAAAGCTGCTTTAATCCAAACAGCATCTGACAGTCGAAAATGACAGGTGGTCCAGAAACAGGGCTAGAACAGATGAGAGTAAATGATAAAGGTGGCACCGCAGGTCAGTGCAGAAGGGAACAACATCTCAGCAGAGTGAGCTGCGAAAGGTATCTCTGGGGAACAGACATCGATTATCACTCCTACTTTCCACCAAAATAAGCTTCAGGTGGATTACAGAGTCACTAAAAGTTATACTCCCCCCAAACTTAGATGAAAACCTTGAATACTTGTGATAAGCATAAAAGTGAAAAAAAGCATAAACACGGTTCTGTCTACCCGAAAATAAAAAGCGTGTATACATATAAGCACACATACTCATCCATACTAACTACCAGCAACACGAAGAAGCGAACAAGCTGGTGGAGAAAACGGCCTGCAGTTATGACAAGGGGTCCCTCGAATTCAGCCGTTCTTCCACATTGACAAGGAAAGCGCTACCACCTCATTAATAATCACCGGAGGGCATGGACAAACGGATGAAATAAAAGCAATCAATTAACACAGCGCAAGTTGAACCTCACTAATAATCAATGTTAAATTACGATACCAGTGAGGCACTACTTGTCACTTAACAAACTACCAATGACTATAACCATGAAAAGCTAAAGAGAAAACAGGCACTTTGTCTCTCTGCGGGTGAAATGTCTGTTTTAGTACGAATTGTCTTAGAAAGCAAAATATCCACATAGAAGAAATGCAAAAATACATATATCCTTTGATCTAATAAGTCTACTTCTAGGATTCTTTCCCAGGGAAATAATCATATATGAGGTCAAAGAATTTAACAACAAGGATGTTATTTATAACGGTGCGAAATAGCAAATATACTCCCCAAAATGGGAAGGGTTCAACAATCTAGGGCCCATTTAAGTGATGCTTTTAAGCTTGGTTTCATGGCATGTCAAAAATGCTAAAATGCTTTCAGTATAATATTAGGGGAGACAAAAGAAAATAGCAAGATCTCCTTGCATTAAAAAAAAAACACCCCACAAAAGTCTATGTGTATATGAAAACATACACAAGATGCTAACAAATTATGTCTAAGTGAAAGTATTGTCTATGGCTTTTTTAAGATGTTTTGGATTTTACAGTAGAAACTGTATTACTTTTATTAAATATAATTCCTTTTTTGGTTTTTGGTGTGTTTGTTTTTTTAAACACAAGGACCAGCATAAGTTCTGTACCCAAGAAAGAACTTAATAGGAACCTTAGAAACAAGACTCTCATTCGTCTTCACTGGTTGACCTGCTTGGAAATAAATTTTTAAACTTTTAAAAATAAGATAAAAATAAATATTTAAAAATAAAATAAATGAAAAAATAAAAAAAAACTTAAGTTACTTTAAGCTCCCCACAGTGTCATGTTCAAGGTTGATTTTTTCCCCCTAGTGTGCTACCTACAAATCATCGTATTCCAAAGGGCCTACTTTACACAAAATAAAAGAATTCAAGTCAGTTTATGATGGATGAACCACATCCGGTCCAAGCACGCAGGACAGCGATACTGTGTCATAGCCCAGAGGCTTGCACAGGTACCCCCGGCTCCCCTCTGCTACCTGTGTGGCTGCTCAGCCACAGGCCAGGCCAAGGCGGCCCCAGAGAGGGCTGCTCATGGAAAAACCCCGCTGATGACGCGCCTCAGCATGAGGAAAACACCACAGGAATGCCGATGACCAGCAGAGGATGAGTGAGTTTCCACTTGCAGGAACAAAAGCTGTCTATTCATGTTTGAAATAAAGAAGGGCAAAAAAAAAAAAAAAAGAAAGAAAGAAAAAAGAAAGAGAGAGAGAGAGAAAAGGAGAAGACCAAACCAGAAATGAGAATGACACAAGAGTGTGGCCAGGCTCCAGTGAAAGCCCCAGGCAGGCCCAGGCCACAATGTGCTGGGGGGAGGGGCGATTAGTGAGCAGCTTGCTTATCTTGCCCTGAAGCACCACGTGTGGGCAGGAGACTGGACTGCTGCACCCAGCAGCACATCCGGCTGTCACTGATCATTTTTGGGGCAGCCACAACAAAACGGAATCCACGGAGCCTTATATGGGCACCAAAGCTGGCAAGCGGAGATCTCCACTGGGCACCCCTCTCCCCGGGAGACCGCACTCAGCCGGGCAATGACTGCTCCTCCAATTCAAGGAGGGTGAGTGCCCCAGGAAGAGACATTCAAATGACAAAACAAATATTTCAAGGACTTTTGTACCACTTTTAAAAGTCCTCTGGAGAAACACCAAAATCCAAACTGTTCTGCCCCAGTTTTTCCAGCTTTCCTTTACACCTGAGTATCTATGGCAAAGTAAGTTCAGAAAGACCTGAGGTCAGACAATGAACCTCCTACTTCCCACATAATTTTAAGAAAATCACTTCAACTCTGAGTCTCAACCTGTCTTGCTATAGAATCACCAATCATACCGGTTTGCACAGTAAGGTTTACCGTGGCAGCTGGGGTACAATCAACTGTTAGTCCCTCCCCTTAAGAGTGACTTCTGTAGATTGCTCTTCTACTCTCTTTTTTCTTTCTTTTTTTTTTTTTTTTGAGTTTTAATTGTGGTCAAATATATGTAACATAAAAGTTACTGTTTAAATTATCTTTAAATAATTAAGCACATTCACATTGTTGTGCAACTACCACCGCCATCCATCTCCAGAACTTTTATTGTCATCTCAAACTAAAATTCTGTCCCATTAAACCATAACTTCTCTACCCACTTTCTACTGACTCTTCTAAGGCCCTTTTCCAAGAAAAATCCTTTCTAGAGGAAGACACAAGGCAGGGGCCAGCAAACTGCAGCAGGCTGGATTTGGCCCATGGGCCACAACTTGCCAACTCCAAATATAATATGATGAAACCTAATGCCAGTCAGCATCTTGTGCAAAGTACACGGAAAGTGGCATCTCCCTACCCAGGGAACCAGGGAGTAGGAGACGCTAATAAGGCTGTGACCACCATGTTTCATGTCACATCAATCTATTTGCTACATGACTCTCAGAGACAAATATCACCTGAATCTCTGAGGCTCTCATGGCTTCTACCACAGGTTCAGTTCACAGAAGTTCAGTGACAACAAAAAATCCAGGCAGCCCAGCCTGAGAGGTGCTCTCAGTCATAACGAGTCCCTTGGACTCGAGTGAGACACACTTGACTATGTTAAGGCTTCCCTCAACGGATACCTGCAAGGAACACGGGAGAGGGCGCACCTCTCTGGGAAGCAGTACAGAGCGGGACGTGTCTCCTGCAGCTCCGACCATGACTGCGGAGAGGAGAATGCAGACAGGTGACTGAGCCAAGGGCCACGGGCAGAGATGCTGAGGCCATGGCTACCTGGGACAGGCCACCAGGGGCTGACCTGGCATTCCCCAAGGGCACAGAGCTGGACTTCCAGTCTACTCTAAGAGCTCAGGTGTCACAGACCCTCCTCCTCACAGGACCAGGTCAGAAAGAGCCACCAGCACAAAAGCGTATCTCAGACCCAATCCAGGGACTTCCGCGCCCCGGGCAAGCCTGAGCTGGCATGCGGACTGGTGGCCGCGTGGTCTAACAGGGACATCACAGGGCCTGGGGGCAGGCTGCCTGGCTTCAAACCCTAGGCTCCATGATCCTTGGAAAGTTCCTTAGCCTAAGACTAAGTGTCACATTATTGAAGGCAGGTGCTATTATCCTTACTCCAGGATTTGTTATTGTTAAACGAGAGGTGCCTCATCCTTGCTACTGGCTCTTCCAATAGCACCTAGAATGTACTGACTTGTTACATTCTTCTAACAACCAGTGCCCCTACGGGACCCTTCTCTGCCAAAGATGTTCTCTCAAACCCCCTCTTCCTCCTTCCCTACATGTGGCAAGGCTTGCCCGAGGCGAAAGACAAGAGAAAAGGCTGTGCACCTAAATCCAGAGCGCACTGGGCAATGGGAGCGACAGGCCCTCACTCCCAGCGCGGAGCACCGGAATTGCGAGCCTCTGCCAAGTACATTTCTGAGCACCTCTTCTGTTCCCTACACTGTACCAATCAACACTCAGCACCCATATTATATACCTTACAGTTTCAAAGCATTGTACAAATAGTAATGCACCCTCACAATGCCTCCAGAAGCCATTAGGAAATCTCAGTTCCATAAACAAGGACAGAGCACTGCAGGTTTCTGAATGAATCACAGATTTCAAGGGTCAGTGCAGGAAAAGGATGGCTTAGGAATAAACACCAACCTTGCCAAATGCTCCTGTTCATTGCTGGAGAAACCAACAAGAACAATCACACAACCTTGACCAGCCAGCAGCCGCTGGAGAGGCACTCGCTGTTGATAGCTGCCCGGAGGGCCATGGGAACTCAGTGCCAATCTCGCCCTCCCAGCCTCATCCCCCATAGCAACTCCCAGGCTCTGCACTAGCAGCAACCCCCTGGCCCTTGTCCTACCGGCCTGCCCCGCTGCTGCACTGCCCACTGTCCCTGGTGTTCGCCTAAGGGTGGCACACAGGCTCTCTGTGCCAGCTGTTGGGAGCATGCACATGGAACCCTCCGGGGCTCCAATGCATTTCTGCTTTTTTAAAAGAAGTGGTATGGACATGTTTACTCCCTCTTCTCAAAACTGATGACTCCGTTCCCGCCCCCCACCCCGCCGCCATCCTTTCTCCATCAGCCTTCCACCTCCAACGGTTCTCAGAGCGCATGCCCGCATGTCACTCACTGGCAACTCCTGTTTGTAAATATCGCACTGGTCACAAAACGCTGCCCTGCCGGACCCCCAAAGTAATTCTCCAGCCACGATTATCCTAGACCTCCTTTCAGAGGCGAGGAAAATGAGATTCAGAAGTTTTGTGACTTCCGCAATTGGCTCAGCTCATGTGGCCACACCAACTTTGGGGCATTAAGTTAGTGTAGCAATTTTCAACCAGCGTGCCATGAGAATATTTAAAACATGCAATATTGGACTATTTAGTCAGGGGCACTCACCTCTTCTCCCTTAGACCGTCAAATAAAAAAAAAAAAGACAACCACCAACACAACAATAGCCTTCCAGTGTGAATGAATCAAAATCACCCTTGTATACCTAATTTTCTGTCTGACTGGCAAAAAAATATATTTTTTGCAGAATTTTAGCAACTAGGTTATCTTGCCATGAGGTGAAAAGGATTGAAAATCACTCAGTTAGTGAACCTAACTGTGTTACAACCAACAGCAAAGCAGAGGAGGGGACAAGGGCTAGTGAGACATCTGGGAAACAGCAACAAGGATTCATTCCAGGCCCTGGCCAGTGTGGCTCCGATGGCTGGAGCATCATCCCATACACCAAAGGATTACGGGTTCGATTCCCGGTCAGGGCACATGCCTGGGTTGTGGGTTCGGTCCCCTATTCAGGGCACAATCAATGTTTCTCCCTCTCTTCCCCACTCTCTAAGATCAATAAGCATGTCCTAAGGTGAGGATAAAAAAAAAAGATTTGTCCCAGGAACAACGGTAACACAGAAACAACATGCATGCATCACAACCTGCTATTGAACAAAAGAAGATACAGGAAACACAACAGGATTTCCATTTATATAAGGTTCCAACGCAGGCAAGATGAAGTGGTGCTTCTGGGGAATGCATCAGTAGGTGGTGAAACCAGAGACACACGAGGAAGGAAATGACCACCAGAGTCAGGGTGGGGCTTCTGAATGCAGGGACACTGGAGGACAGCTATTTTATTTTATGACTATTAAACATACAGGTTTTATGCACGTTTCCATATGTAAATCTTGGTTCACTACTTAATACAAGAATTACTAAAGAGAAAGAAAGTGGAACCGCTAGGCTGACTCATTAGATCCACGTAATTTCTGATTCTTTAGCCTTCACAGGGAACTCATACCCAAAAACAGATAGATAGGAAGCACGACTTCCCAAGTTTCTTAGTCCCTTGTTTCTTCAGGGCTGTAAAAGCAGTAGAGGTGAAATGGAAATTTCTGGAAAGATCTAGATTCCACCACCTCAGACAAGACTGTCCACAGCCATCCTCAGCCTGCATTATTTCTGACTCTCCAAAAGGAATAAAAAAAAAAGACCCCTCCTAATCAACAAATATTTGTCATGCTCTTTCTACCATCCAGCTGCTGTTTCACAGAATTTATGTTTAATAGTAAATGCTGGGCAGAGCTTCCAGGACCAAGCTGGGGGGCAGGGCTCCTGCTCCCCCTGGAGTCCAGCTTTCTATTCTGTCTTTCCTGAGACAAAGTTACCACAGGTGCTGGGGTAAAAGAGCCAGTGGGGCCTGACGACAACCCATCCTTCAGTCACGATTGAGAGCAACTTCATCACCCCCCAGTACAAGCATAAAACAGCTCAACCTCCTCAGAACTGGGAAGCAGGAAATTGGTTACACGCATATTGCCTAGTGGAAGAAGGGTGCTTTATTACCAAAGTTAACAAGGATGGGGCATGTTAACAAGTCTCAAGGAAAGACCTTGGACCTTTCACTCAGAACAACCTGTCTTTAAATCCCAGCTTTACTGTTTAATGATGCTATGACCTTGTGAAAATCCCAAAGTGTAACAACGAAGTAAGAGCTTAAGATTCCTCATCGGTGCTAAGTTTGAACTGCAGTTTCTACTCTTTACAGAGATGTGAAGAAGAGGAAAAAAAACCCACATGTAAACTTTCCAGAACACAGTGGGCACTCAATAAATGGTATTACTATTTTTAAAAAATGGCACTGGCAGTACTTTTACGGAGGGTAAAATAAATGTTTCTGTTCCCCACCCAACTGCTGACACCATACAGCTGGTTGATCTTGGGACAATTTTTGATCCTTTCTTCTCATGTGATTGGAAAACATAAAAATACTTATCTTAAAACTCCTTGGAAATCCTTACCAGAAGTTAACTCCATCAATAGAAATAATTCCTGTCTCCCAACTTCCTAACACTGATAAAACATGAGGAAGAATAAAATTTAAGAAGGAGACTTAGGTAGCTGATCTAGTGGTCAATCTTTAATTGCCCTGTTAATTCAGACCAGTAAAGACACACATAATTACAATATAGATTTCCCAAAAGCCAGATTAACCTTAACCTGAGAGTTTCTTTAACCTTACAGTTTCTAGTTCCCTTTTCTGAAAATTCATACTTCCCAGCAATAACAAATATATATTCTAACTAATGAAGGTGTTAATAATTATGAAAATACAAAAAAGGCAGGAAAGGTAAAAAATAAAGATGCTAGATAAAATAATACGCCAAGTAATTGGCCAGGAATAGTTGAGTCTGAAGAAACGTTCGTACTACGGATTCAATTCCTGCAGCAGCAATTTCTACTGGCAGGTAGAAGTAGGGTGTAGATGGTATAAGTATGTTACACTAAAACCCAAGTACAGTGGGTTTTTCATTTTTAAAAATCTGATCTCTGGCTCTCCCTCTCAGGAGCACGTCTGTGCCTTTCCTGACCCCTCTTCTTCCCTGCTCCAGGCACGTTACCTTTGCCCTTCTCTCTCCTAAGCTCCCAGGGCCTTTCTTCTGCCTCCGTAACTTGTTTCCTGAGCCTACACAGCCCAGCTGGTTCACTTCTACATAAACTTTCTCTTATAATGTGAAAAAAAATTGACACAGACATCTGTTTAAAGGTATCACATGGTAAGGAACTTTTGAAGATATTAAGCAGAGCTAGGGAGCCAGTACCCTATGATGTTGATCTGGATTTTGCTTTTTACAGAGGTGAACCAGTTTTCAGATCTTCCATAGCAGCTTCCACTTTTTCCAGTGATTTTCAACTAGTCTTCTAATAAGAAGGCACCAAAAGCTCTGAAGAAGGTATAACTCCCTTGACACACTCAACACCTCTCTTTTTGCTTCCCCCTCTACAGAATGTTCCATCATACCTACCATAATGGTGTGTTCTGGAAATTTGGCACGGACAAGTTTCACAAATTCCACAAAATGCTCCGAATAGCCATTGGCCACATCCAGGCAAATAAACTTAATCTGCGGCACAGCTTCCAAGATGCTGCTCATCTTTTCCAGATCATTCTTCCCACTGCCGGAACTCACAGCTACATGCTATACCAAAAATAAACCAAAAGGTGCAAGACATGAACAGTGAATAGTATTCAGAAGTCAGACCCTGTCTCCATCCGTTCACCTGTTCTGGGGACAGTACATCAACCCTCTGAAATTACCCTGATCAAATACACACACAGCAGACCTGCTCAAAAAATATGCAGCAGCAGAGGTAAAGGACTTTCACTCGTTAAATTATCTAAACCTTACCCCTGCTGTCTTTCCCACCATTAAATTGCATATATCCTTAACCCTGACCCTTGGCCACAGAATCTTTCTAGTAAACAGTTTATTAAATATTTGGGAAATCTTGTCCTTGGAGTTTGTTTACTTTCCTCAAGCTCTCTACGTGGAACTCCGAATCGTGGAACTGCTGGTGCAAATTCTCCTCCCCCTGGAGCAGAGGAGAGTCACGAAAAATGAAGAGGGGGCCAATGAACTCGGGCCTCCTTATGCCAACTCTGTGGCTATCACCCCAAGTACCTCGCTTTGGGGGTCAGGAGGAAGGAGGGAAAGATGTCTAAAACGCCCCTGATAAAACTTCTTCTGCCCTGCCTGGTGTGGCTCAGTGGACTGAGTGCCGGCCTGCAAACCAAAGGGTTGCCGGTTCAATTCCCGTTCAGGGCACATGCCTGGGTTTCAGGCCGGGTCCCCAGTTGGGGATGTATGGGAGGCAACCGCACACTGATACTTTTCTCTTTCTTCACTCCTTTCCCCTCTCTCTAAAAATAAATAAATAAATGAAAATCTTTTAAAAAATAAACAGAATAAAATCTTTTATTTTCATTTTTACTCCCATACAATATGAATACAACATGCAAATTGTAACCCAAAGAGCCATGAATCTCAATGTTCCTATTAAAAGGGCTGAGTGTCCCATGGTACGAGAACAAAGGAGACTTAAGTGGTCTTTACCAACTGCACTTAGACATGTTTACCTCTGAAGCCACCGCCCCCCACTCTGGGACACCCCCTCCCCCAACCTCCCCAGCGCCAGTGCCCTCCAACCCGCCCATCGCATCCTCCAAAAAATGCTCTTTGAGAAAAGACCTGTTTTTTAGCAAATGCTGCCTTAGTGCAACTAAGCCACAGGATTGGGCCCAGAGTCGTATCTCACCTTTATAAGAATATTGTTAAGAACATTTTAACTTATCTCTAAACCATAAGCCACAGAGTAGGGATGTATATTAATATCTTTGTTATTTTCAAAAAACCACAACAATGTAGCTACAACCCAGACACTCCAGTTTCCCTCCATGTTGCCAACCTGACCAGCATGCCCAATCCACCCATCTCTTTCCCTCCCACAAGAGCTTTGCTATCTTTATATCCCTCTTCATTTCTCTTTGTGTTTGGCACGTGCAAGTCAAGATTAGTTAGTTTCTCTGAGGGCTACTGAGTTTTTAACATTTTCCCTTTTCATAAAAATCAGCCTTTACACCGGTGGGGGCCAGGGCAGTCAGTCAAACGATCACACTGGGTCAGGAAAGCCAAGCTTCCAATTAGCCACACGGTGCCCCACACGCACCGCCTTCCCAACTTCTGACAGACAAGGAGACGAAGGTGAAAACAGTATGGTTCATCTGAACACAATACAGCAAAAATGAAGCAGCTACTATTGAGCTGAAATTATTTTATCTCCCAAACCACCTTCTCACTAATCAAAATCCACACACGATTAAAGTATAGGACCAAAAAAAAAAAAAAAAAAACCAGTGCAACCTCCAAAGCAGTGCAACCTGCCGTCACTGCTCCATCACAGGCAGCCTGACCTTCGCGGGGAGCGTCTCCGCTGCAGAGACGCTCTGCAGGCACCAGCTCAGAGCCACCCACCCGTGCCAGGGGGGTGGGGAGGCACTATACTTGGGGCTTTCTGTTAGTTTCAAACTGCCCTTTTTAAATAAACATAGTAACAGCTTTAAGGAGACGTAATCATACCGTACAATTCACCCATTTAAAGTAGACAATGCCATGGTTTTTAGTATATTCAGAGTGGTGCACCATCAGCCATCACAATCAATTTTAGACCATTTTCATCACCATCCCCGCGCAAAAATCTGTCATACCTTAAAGGCCTCACCCTCCCTCAAGCCTCAGGCAACCACTAATCTACTTCCTGTCTCCACTCATTTGCCTATTCCTGAGATTTCACGTGAACAAAATCACATATGTGGCCTTTTGTGTCGGGCTTTTTCAGTTAGCAAAATGTTTTCAAGGCTCATCCAGCTGTAGCCTGTATCAGTACTTCATTTCTTTTTATGGTTGAATAATATCCCATTGTATGAATATACCAGATTTCATTCATCAGTTTATGTGTTACCATTGGTATTTAGCAAATGACTGATGAGAAACAGGAGGAAAGGGACTTGGGCATTGAGCTTAATAAACGGGAATATTAGCCTACTCTATCAGGAAGCTACAGCTTTTCACACTCCAGGGGATTATAGCATTTCTCCACCCAGAAGATTAACACTCCTCTGTCCTCCCTCAAGTACCAGATAGTTGGGGGACACAAGCGGAAGTGCTGGACCACAGAGGCCTCTCAGTCTAACTAGAGGGTGTAAACCCATCCAAAGCCCACAGAAGACTGGGAAGTTGATTGGTTCTTCTGAAAAGGCACCTGGTCTGTCCCAACCCAAACTAATATAATCCCAGGGGACAAAGCAGTGCGCCTCTCCCCGCCCCCCATGACCCACACTCAGCCCACGCACTCATGCATCCTTTTGCCACAGCCCTGTGGCCTTAGCAGCCACACAGACTTCACCACCGGGGCAGCCGAGGGAACAAGCTAAGCTCCCTGGATGGGGACTGAGACCACCTGTCTGCAGGCTGCAAAGAACTAAGCTTTAATATGAAGCAAAAACTCTGGATGCTGGCTTTTGTCTTGGCTTTGCTGAGGAAAGGCTGGATTTTTTTCCATGGCGGGACAGAGAGAGCTGAGACATTGGACAACAGGTGGAAGCTTCTATTTCTACACAAATAAACCATTCTGCCACACCACAAGCTCCTGTGCACGGGTCCTTGGAATGCTTTCCTTGTGACACCATGAAAGAACCTGCTGTATTCTGCTGCGTATAATGTGCACATTTTTTAGGGAAAAATAAGGATGCACATTATACATGGGCAGTACAAATTCTGAGTGTACTATATAAATGTTTTTAATGATTTTATTTATGCTTATGCATTAAAAGTGTAACTCTAGAGAGCAATAACAATATCCTTATGCATAATAATACCGAGGAATACAATGATCTGTTTTTAAATATAAACAAATAAAACATTGAATTAAAAAATTAAAACGAAAGATTTTTTTTTTCCTGAAAAGTTTGGGCCAAAAACGTGGGTGTGCATTATACATGGGAGTGCATTATACATGGCAAAATATGGTAATTCCCACCAATAACAGACAGGTATATGGCTTGTTTCTACCTTTCAGCTATTATGAACAATGCTGCTATAAACACCTCTGTACAAGTTATTGTGTAGACATACACTTTTATTTCTGCTGGCCTATGCCTAGGACCAGAACTGCTGAGTCATATGGTAACTCTTACGTTTAACTTTTCTGAGGAGCTGCCAAACTATTTTCCAAAGCAGCTGCATCATTTTACGTTCTCACCAGCAATATAGGAGGATTCCACTCTCTCCACATTTATGCCAACACTTGTTACTCTCTGCCTTTTGATTATAGCCATCCTGGCTGGCATACTGTTTCTTCAACTCCAAAACAACTTGTTACAATTAGACCTTTTTTCCCCTAAGTCCAAAAGGAATGGTCGCACTGGGTCTAGCCCTGGCAGGTAAAAGAGGTCCTCCCCAGGCTCTCACAGCACCTCGCCTTTCAAGGGGAAAAAGCAGATATCCCTTCCAAGTCAATCCTAATAGTTTCAAAACAGGATACAGAACAGGTTTCCTTAGCAAACCCTTTGCAACTACAAACGGCTGGGGGACCATAATTGCATTTCCCCAGGTCTCTCTCAGGTGTCGTTGTGTCTATCTGCAGCTGATTAAAATCTTTTTGACAACCCCAAAGATTTTCCACCCTCTGCAACAAAGGCAATAGTCATACCTGCAGGCATTCTGGGTGATTAGTGGCAAAGAGCTTCCAGTCGTCCAGGGTGTAATGCTTATGAATTGCTGTAAACATGGAGTGCTAGGAAACAAAACAGCACCATTAGGATAAGAAGTCAATTGAGCCTCCTTCCTCCATAAGGTGAGGGTGAGTCAACCCCACAAAAGCATCGGGTGTTCCTGCCAGTCATGTTTAATTAGCTTTGAATATGCTCCTAGGAGCCAAAAACAAAGGTTAAATCGGTAAAATCACAAAAGGGGTTTTTCTGTCCTAATCTAATCAGACAACCCTGCATTCAGGCCTCAGGAGGCTCTGCCAGGAGGCAGGGGTGGGAAAAGGGAGAGTCCTCAGCCCTGCCCCAACTGAGCACCTGCATTAGGCCAAGTGCAGGTCTCCTGCCAAGAAGGGCGTCCTTAGGCAAATTCTGCTTAGCAAACCCCAACGAACCTCAGCTTATACCTGAAAGCTTTTCCTTGTGTTCACACCCTAAACAATTCTTGGCAAAAGCTAAACCCATCAGCAGGTGGTATCCCTAAGAAAGGAAATTACATAAATTGGAATATTAAATCTACGACTATCAATGTGGCATTTATTAAGTACCTACCTTGTGCAAGCAGTTTGCAACATTATTTCATTTACTTTGCAGGACAACTTCGTACAATAATATTAGCTTTGTGGACAGAAAAGAAGCTTAAGAAGTTGGAATTTAGCCAGTCAGAGAAAGACAAGTACCATATGATTTCACTCATATGTGGAATCTAATGAACAAAATAAACTAACAAACATAATAGAAAAAGACTAACAGAGAACAGACTGACAGAGGGGAGGGGTGTTGCAGGACTGGGTGAAAAAGATGAAAGGATTAAGGAAAAAAAAGAAAGAAACACAAAACCTCACAGACACAACAGCAGGGTGTTTCCCAGAGGGTAAGGGGGTGGGGAGAGACTAAAGAGGGTAAAGGGGGGATAAAAGGTAGTGGAAGGAGCCTAGACTTGGAAGGAGACAATACAACACAGAGATGAGGTATTATACAGTTGTACATCTGGAACTTACGTAATTTTACTAACCAACGCCACCCCAGTAAATTCAGTTTTAAAAAAATTTTAATTAAAAAAAAATTAACAAATGCTTGGTCGGTAAGGGGCAAAGGCCGGCATCAAAGTCAAACCCAACTGCAGAGCTCAGGTTCCTTCCCCAACATCAGGGCCTCTCTCCTAACTTTTCGGGGTCCATTTCTTCATCCGGTTTCCCACCTAAAACTAGGTCTTTATCAACTTGCACTACTCAGAGGATCCTAGAAATAGAAAATCCATAGTACCCACACATGTTTAGCTGTTTCAGTGTACACTGTCTAATTAATTGGGAGTATTTCCCGTGAAAATAGGAAGAGCATAACAAGTTGTAAGTTTTTCGTGGACTAATAATCTGATATGTGAATTAATCAGGGCTATTTATTGCTCCCTGATTCCAACCCCTTCTACACGAATACATAATCCATTAGTAGCAATGGCTGATCACAGAGCAAAGCAAGGAAAAGATGGGGAGAAAAAATACAAATTCTTTTAGCAATGGATTTATTAGCCTCTGGCTCAAAGCTCAGTGGGGGCTGAAGGCTGACAGATAATACAGCTGACTGGTTGTGGGCTCAGATGGACCACAGCCTACGCCATTTTTTGAGATCATAATTTGTTTGAAGATGGTCCTTCTAAACACTGACTAATAATGACTCCCAGCACCTCCTGGGGTTAGGCTTGCTGCCCACAGCAAGAAGCTCTTTCGACTAATTGGATTTATTTTTTCACTTGGCAGGATTATCAGTGGAAATAGATACACATTCCGTGTGCATCTGACAAGTAAATGTTGGCATCTAGAATGAATAAAGTGCATTGCGCCTGGGACACAGCTGCATGAAATGAAGGTCCTGCCCACAAAAGGCTTTTCCTTTATTTTTCCCAAGGCGAGAATACCAGCTACTCCATTTACAGGAAATTAGTTTGGTAACTAGCTAAAAGCGACCTTAAGCTTGTACTGTGATCAGTCGGTGTAAACCGAGAGGCAAATCCCTTATTCTGGGTTTGAATCTTGACTCTGTCTCTACTTAGCTGAATGCCCTGGACCAAGTTATCTCTCCTCTCCCTCTCTGCCTCAGTTTCCTTATCTGCAAAAGGAACCTACCTGGTGAAGCTGTGACATTATATCCAATGAAATACTGTTTGGCATATAAGTGTTCAATAAATGGTTTCTACATATAATGCAACAAATGCGAAAGCACAGACTACATACGAAGCAATTCTGTCTTCATTTAATGACACTCACCCTCTTCTTATTAAATAACATGGCACTCGACTAACTTTACAATATGGCACAATGTCCAACTTTTTTCTGTATCTCTAATTCCTAAAACTACCATGGGCATCTTCAAGGAAGAAATGGATGTGGCTCTAGAACATCTCATCGAATGTGAAGTCCAGGCTCCACCCATTTCTGACTGAAAAGAGGGGAAGGAAAAAAGTGACTCCAGTCCCAGCTGGTGTGGCTCAGTGGATTGAGTGCCTGCCTGCAAACCAAAGGGCCGCTGGTTTGATTCCCAGTCAGGACACATGCCTGGGTTGTGAGCCAGGTCCCCTATTGAGGGCACATGAGAAACAACCACACACTGATGTTTCTCTCCCTTTCTCCCTCCCTCCCCCTCTCTCTAAAAATAAATACATAAATAAATGGTCAAAAAAAAGGGGGGAGACTCCAGCAACAATCAGACTCAGGACTAAATAGTTTGGCCACAGCCATTGACCCAGTGTCTCACTTTTCCCTGTGTCTGAACAAGTCCAGGGTGGGCTCCTGACAACCCATCCAGTATGAGCAGCAGAGGGGAAACGCCCACCGTCCTACCTGTGACATCACCACTGCCATCTCAAATGTCCCCACGGTGTCCATGTTGGCCACAATGATGGGAATCCCTGAGTAGGTCTGCTTTGAGTTTCGAAATGTGAAGGTACGCTCAAGGTCCACCTATTGGCAAAAAAAAGAAAGAAAGAAAGAAAAATGCTTTGCTCTTTGCTTGACTTGGGCAGAATTTCTAGAATCTGAAGCAAGTGGGAAGAACACTAGCAAGTGTATGCCCCTTAGTCGCTGGATTCTCTTAAGTGTTGGCCAGATATTCCAAAAACAGGGGAGTCTCTGAGGAAACCCGGTGCCAGGCTGTTATCCAAGCGTGAGAGCTGAACCCAGCTCCTTAGTATCCTCAAATGCCAGCACAAGGCACTGCAGGTTCTGCCATCCAGCCCAGCCTCCAAATCCTAAGTCCTCTCTCCTTCAGTAGCCTCTCCCTTCCCACAGCCACCCTCTGTGCCCAGCCAGGTCTATCCCAGCCCTACGTACCCACATACCTCTGTCCCTACTTGCAAGCACTGGAGAAACCGCTCCCCTTCTGAGGAAATCCACTCCACTCTTCCCTGCCAACCAGGGCCCTCCCTTTAACTCTCACCTTCCACTCCCAATTCCCCCTGCAGTGAGCTGCAAACCATTCATTCCTTAACCTTTCAGCCTTCTCAGCTGTTCTGTAATTAGGAGCATCTTTCAAAGAGCTGGGGGAGTACACTGCAACCATATGTCTCTGCATATAAACGCTTGTTCCTCTGACTGCCAACAGCTGGAGGGGAACCTCCAATTCTATCATACCCCATCTTCGGGGCACGTACAACTAACTCTGCTATCAGGAGAGCTAGGCCATGGTGGTGGATTCGGCAAAAGCAGAGTGCTAGGTGCTCACTAGAGCTCGCAGAGTCACACCACTTCTCCGACCCAGGGCACATCCCAGGCCTGGATGTTCGCAGATCCAGTCCTCTCCCTCTCCTGCCACGTTCTCATCACACGGAGGCCGCCTCCTGCAGGCTCCACTTCCCAGATTGGTTTCTGGATGGGTTCAGCCAATGGGGTCACTGAGTAGCAAACCGGGGAGAGTTAGGAAGTTGGGAGGAGAGGGCCTGGGTGTAGTGGGGTCGTTCTCCCAGAAGCCCTCTGCTGTGGCCTGCAGGACCTTTGTCCCAGCTCTCTCAGGGTGATCCTAGCCCCGGCCTCAGTAAGATCACCTTCTCCCCTTTGGAAGTGGTTTCTCACTGCTGCCAATAGCTTGGGTGCCTCAGTATCTCATCTGGCATCTCAGCAGTGTCAGGGTATCTTGCATTAAATTCTCTCTTGTAAATATTTAGCACTGTTGTTTCCTTTGGCTGGACCCTGATGGATAAAGACCCCAAGGAGAACCAGCAAGAGGAACACAGGCGTGAATCGTAAGCTTCTGAAATAGGCCGGATCTGCCTACATTAATCCTGGCTTCAAAGAGTACACCAGCAATAATCATTGCCACCCAGTGTTTATCTAGTTCCTTCCTTTATTCTTTTTCATTTCAGACAAGTTTCACTTTTCAATCAACACATCAAAAAAAACACCATGGGACCCCTCTGGCTCTTGCTTCTCCGCACAGGGCTCCCCATCCACCAGGCTTCCTGGGAGAGTGATGTCATAAGCATGTCCACCTTGGCCTTAAACAGCAATCACTAGGGGAAATGGAATGCTGCCACTGCCTGAGCATATGGGGCGGGTCATCCCTTTCTCGACTTCCTCATTATGATTCTTGATTCTACTTCATTGAAAGCAAGTTACATTTAGACTCTGAACTATAACTGCCACGGTCCATTTGTTGCAACCTTTTGTGCTATTCATGGCCCTAGCATTCTGACTTCCCAGGCCAAAATTAATCAGAATTCCTGGGTCTCAAATTACTCTTACACTCCTCCCAAGATGCTGGAGAAGAAGTGCTATACTGCACACCTAGCTGAGCTCACAATGCGTTTTTCTTGACACCTCAAAACCTATCAGCAGCAAGCACGCGCGCGCACACACGCACAAAACCAGTTTTTCATGGAAAAGGTCAGCCTTAGCATTAAACTCTTCCCCTCAACCCTAGTCCTCCCCATATGATAGATTCTATGCAATCCTTAATTCTGAAAATGATAAATAAAATTATCTTCTCAATTTTATCAACACATACACAAATATACATACCACAGACCGTTGTTCGCTGAGAGAGGTAACTTATTCCTCTCAGGAACAAACATAGCACCTCCAAATTCTCACTCTGCTAACCTGATTTGAAAGGGAATGTAATGTAATAAACCACCCCACCCCAAACTCAAAAGTAGATATTTCTGCAGCCCTTTAAACTTACTTTCATTAAAGTCAGCCAACATTAGAGGGCCCGAAAGTACAAATGGAAGCCCCTACCACAGTTCTAAACACCTCAAGGTAATAAGTCAAGCTAACAAACTGCTGTGTCAATTTTGTTCTATCCTCCTAACTGAACAAACAAGTTCACTAATGACCTAGAAAGCACCAGAACATGAAGAACCAGGGAGCCAGCCTGGGCCGGCAGCCCACGTCCCCTCCTCTTCCCACCCACACCCTGTGTGCACGCACAGGGGCACCCCAGTGCACACACTAAGTCCCCTGCACACACGCCCCTCCACTCTGCCAAACACCTGCCACTTGGCCACTCTCTGAGGTCAGAGGCAAGCGTACCAGCAGCATGGATGGCTCTTGAGAAAACACACCTGAGGAAGAGGCCCTTAAAGTCCTTGGAATCAGCTCCAAGTCAAGAGGGCAGGTAAATCCAGGATCTTGAGTACCTGGAGAAAGGTCTAGAAGCAACAGTACAGCCCACAGGCCCTGTCCAGTGAGGAAGGGGTCAGAGGACCCTTCTGCCTAGATCTGTGGATGGTACTGATTAAAGCAATTATTCATCATCTGTGTAACCTATAGATCATTAAGTCTAAGTACAGGGACAATGCCTCTCACCTTTGTAGTTCTATTGGATCAAAAGTGGAATAAGTTAACATCTGATCAAGGGACAAGAATAATGTCATTCCAGCCCCCAGCCTTTCTCAAGCCATGCTTTGTCGGCCCGGCCCTCTGGATGTGCTCTGTCCCCTGGAAGTGTTACCATCAATTCTCAGGAGGAGCCCAGGCAACTGCACATTACTAGACATTTGTAGACAGCCACAGGCTTCCACAAATGGAAAGGGTTCTCGTGGCCAGTCCAGAGCATCCACGCACACATGAGAATCATCAGTCCAAAATACACATGCTTGGGCTGCCTCAAATGTAATCAATCAGAACCTTTGTGTTGGAGACAAGATGTGGATTTTTGGAGAGTCTTCCCGGGTGATTCAGAGGCACCCATGAATAACAGGTTTGATCAAACTCATAATTTCATAGACCAAAGCTGTTATGGTTTGTGTCTCCTCCTAAAGATGTTAGTTCTAACCAATGTCTTATTTGGAAATAGGGTCTTTGTGGATGATTGTGGTAAAATGAGGTCATTAGGGTAGGCCCATTCCAATACGGCCAGTGTTCTTTCAAAAGGGGAAAATTTGAACAGACACACAGAAAGAGAGAATATCATGTGAACATGAAGGTAGAGATCGGGGTGACGCATCTACAAGCCAAGGAACGCCTAAGATTGCCTGTAAACAACCAAAGTCTGAGGCATGGGAGAGATTCTCCTTTGTGGCCCTCAGAAGGAACCAACTCTGCCCACATCTTTATCTGGGACTTTAGCCTCCAGAAATGTGAGATAACAAATATCTTTTGTGTAAGCCTCCCAGTTTGTGCTGCTCTGTTACAACATCCTCGGGAAACAGATCCAGAGGCAAAGATAATAAAATAATTTGTAAAGAGCTTGGACTGCAACCCCGGTTTCCTTTTTCCCAGCCCAAGAGTCTCTCCATCTGCCAGGTCTCATCCTCGGCTGAGGCTTGCTCAGGCTGGACCAGCACTCTTCTCACTGGACCACTGGTGAAACAATTACTACAGAGTGTTAAGGAGACACAACACTCACCATGTCATGTCCTGTTTTCCCTGTCCTGGGACAAGCAGCTGGTTTTCTGATGCAAATTCTCCGTCATACCTGACTTCCAAAGTCAGAGTTGCATTAATTTTTTGTTTTGCTTTTCTTTAGAAAAAGAAAAAACCTTACTAGCATAAGGACTAAGTTGGGACATATGAGCCAGGAAAGGATCCCGAAAAAGAATGCACTCAGGGAGTCAAGGGCATGCAAGCTCCAGGTCTATCCGATAAGGACAAGTTCTTGCCTCAGTCAACAAACGTCAATTCCGGAAAAGGTGACCCAAATGCCCCCCTCCCACAGCCCTGTGGTGGCACTTTATTTTTGTGTGCCAGGCTTGCGAAGTCGTGGGTAAAGGCAAAGAATGGACAGCCAATCGAGATGACGGCCCACCTGGTACAACCACTGTAAGGCCACCTAGGCCACCTCCACCTGTACCCTTTGCCTCTGGAAGGTGACTTCAAATTCATTGTATGCGACACTTGTGGAAATGCCCTAGCAGGAACACTCCAACTTCCGAGTGGGAGGCCATGCTTACTCTCCATTTTCCTGCTCACCAGGGTCAGCTCACAGCAAAACTGTTGCAGTGATCAACCTTATCAATGGTCGAAACCCTTTCTTCTTAGCCAGACTCTGCTCTCCTGGGGAACGTCTTCTGTACTGGCTCCACTCAAATCTGACCTCTGGTTTGACTCAAAGTCAGTCATTTATGATTCGGCTTTGAAACTGCACTCAGGTATGACTTCTGCCAGAGGGCATACATTTGGCTTCTATCGGATTGTGCAATGAAAAGTTTTTAATCTGCCAACAAAAACATTTCAGGCATCCACAAGCAAACTTGGAAACACTGAGAGGGGGTTAGGAGCCTGACTAGATCCAGGCCTAACTACCTCCCTCAACATCAGTGAAGCAGGCAGTCAGGTTAAGAGGGGTAGCCGGCCAGGCACCCAGCTGCCTGGAACACCAGGAAGTTAAACTATTACAGGAACCAACTGGAAAGGCAATGCCAGTTAGCTCAAGTTTCCAGGCACAGAGCTGAAAACTCCCACAAAAGGAGAAATATGAAAACCTTTCCCAAGGACATAGAGTTCTCATTGTAATGTGTACATGTAGCTGGTAAGGTGCTATCAGAGGCTGGGACATTAATAGTTTCAATCAGCTCAAATTATGAAACCAAATGATATCATACTATTCCCTAGGAAAGAGTAATTCATTCTGTTACATAAATTCTAAATGTTTCATCTTCTCAAGATGTTTTCTCATTCAGAAAATACATATAATATACCCTGTTTTAAACATATAATTTTTCTTAAAAGTTTCTCTCTACTAACTGAATTCTGAACAAATATTTAAAGAATACTGAGGCCACCAAATTATGAGTCCGCCTAGAATCCTCACATCTCATCTTAGTCTGGCCTTAGGTGCTGACCACAGCTTATCCTGGGGGAGGCCCAGGGCAGCCATGCAAACTGTTTATTTTTCTTTCATGAGTCTGCCCCCATCTTTAGCACCTGAAATAACATGACGAAGGACAGGCACAGAGCCATCCAACCGAGGCTAGCATGACAAGAGTTAACCATTCCTCTCTTGCTTCTCCAGTCCTGTCCTGTCCCATCTTCTCCATGAAGCCTGACAACCCTCCTGCCTGAGAAGGTGACTTGGTTCTGGTCACTGGCTAAAGCGGGAGGCCTCTCGTATCCAAACAAGCCCTTGGCTGACACTGCCACTGCAGCTGGGCCTGGGCATCGGTGCGCAGCCCGCCGATTTATTTACGGTCTTTAGGGTAGAATGTGCCAGACAGTGGGCTGGCTCAGCCTCCTCCTGTGTATTCCTGTGGCCCCAGCCTCCAGACCCAGTCCAGCTCCCTCGCCTTCCTCTTCGGCTCTCAGCAGACCAGGCAAAGTCACGGTCCCCAGCACACACCACTCCAAGGGGCTCTGCCTTCCTGTGCAGCTAGTTAGTTTACCCTTCAGAGTTTGACCTTCCTCCTCACCAGCAGAGGCATCCCTACCCCCACCCGGAGGCTATTTCCAGCCCAGCGTCCACCTGTTCTTCAGGCTTTGATCCAGTTCACCACCCAGCCCACGCCTGCTCCACTGCACTCTGTGCCACTGCTCTCAGCTTCTCTAGGACTGAATTGGACTTTGGCTGTCCAGGAGGTTGCCACTAGGCAAAGGTCCCCAGCCTCACTCCCAGCAAGGTCACTGAAATGCAGAAAGTACATCCTGAACTTTTGTCTTGAAGTTTCCCAGTTTTTCAGTCATCTTAAATTCCATTGCTGGACCTGACACTAAACCAGCAGCAGTTTTCTGCACTGAGAAACAGGGCCAAAATCACAAGGACCTTCCGTTGTTTTTCCCCTCCGTTCATGATCTGGCTCCGCTGTGTCCTTTTCTCCCTAAATGCACCCGTCCAGCCCTCCCATGCTTTCTCACCACTTGGCCACTTCATCTTTGCCCCCTCCACGGTCTAGTTCTAATGTGTACTTCCCGTGGCCAACCCTACCTGCCGAATTTAGAATTGTAGGCCCTAGCTGGGTCCCTTGAAGACACCTCCTGACCTGGCAGGGACCCAGCTGGTTTGCCCTTTCTCAGCCGGTGGAGAGGAAGCGGGCACAGGGGGTCGGCACCCCAGCCATCCTCAGACACAGAAACCTGGCAAGGTATTACCACAATGCACCGCCTCCACCCACCTCCCCTGCGCCACTCTGGAAAATAACCCGCCCCATGGCGGCTTTCAAAGAGCCCCACCTCTGCTCGGCTCCTGAGGCTGCTTCGCTTAGGTCGGAGCAGAACATCCTTGAAGTCCAGCTTGAGGTCCGCATCGATGCGGGGCATGGTGCGCGGCGGCGAGCAGTCTGAGACAGGCAGTTCCTTCCTGAGGCGCCGGCAAGTGGGGCGGGGACGTCCTGGGCGTGGGACAGAGACGCAGAAGCGGGGGACGCGGGGGGACGCAGGCGTGCGGTGGAGTGTGGGGCTCGCGGGGGACACAGGGCACGGGTGAGGAGATGAGGTGCGGAAGCCCGTGCTCACTGGCTGCTTGGTGCGCACTGCGCCCTTAAGGCCGCCGGCACCCCCGTGGCGCTCTGCCCGCCAGGACTCTGTGGTGGCCCAGCCCCGCCCCCGCGTCTGGGGCCGGGATAGAAAGAGGAAGGGGAGGTCCGGCAGGTCAGGGACAGGCCAGTGGCAAAGAAGTCCACAGTGTGTGTGACATTTGTAACAATCCCACTCTGTCCCTCCCAGCCCTCCTCCATTTACAGCCCTGCTCGTTGTGGTGCCAGTATTGGCGCTGGGGGAGGAGGGGATTGGGGGGGTTGAGGAGGCGGGCCTGCATACCCTCTTGTTGTCACAGATGACGCCCCCCCCATAGGGAAGAGAGACGGCCTGTGAGCGCCTTACCCAAGGGAAAGGCCAGTGCTGAGAGGTTTTGCTTCTCCTTTCTCTAGTTTCAAGCCCAGTGTGCCCACCAGGCGCTGAGTCACACCTTCACGTGCCAAAAAACAAAACAAAACAAAACAAAACAAAACGGAAAAAAGAAAGAAAGAAAGAAAGAAACCCTCGGGAGGTCAAATAGAATTAAGGAAAAGAAGGTGGGCAGGTAAATCTATTTAACAGCAATGGGATTGTTGAAACAATTTTTGGATCTCAGGGGTGGGTTGGGTTTCATAAAAGCAGTCATCACAGATCCTGGGATTAGAGGGCCCTGAGCCCCCTCTCTGTTTCTTTTTAATTCACTTGTTGACCTTCAGAACCTTGGGGAGTTCAGGAATGTACTTAAGCCCGTGGCCTGCACTTTTTCATTCACTCCCCCAACAACGCAATGAAGAAGGAGCCATTTTGCAGATTAGGAAGATGAGACTCATATACAAGAAGTACCTTGCCTGTGATCCCAGCAAAAGATGTAAATATCTCAGTCCTTAACACACAGTACAAATTTAACTAAACTGCTTTTGCCCTGCGACCTGACCTCTCTCTGCCTGGCTCAAAAGCCAGACCCCACCTACTTCTAGGTGACTGACTTTGGGGGCGTCAGTTAATTTCTCTAAACCTCAGTTTTCTCATAGGTTAAAAAAAGGGGAAGAAAAAGACAATGCTATCCTCTTCCAGGCTTATATAAGAATTATATTTTGTGTGTATGTCTACATGCCTGTGTGCTAAGGCACACACACGGACACACACAATGCATATCCCGTAGTTGCTCAATAAACAGTCGCTATTTATTGAGGGGTCACATGATACATTATGTGCATTAAGCTTTATAGCCTCAAACTAGATTGCTAACTGCTCAAAGGCAGGACTCTTACTTTCAGTTGTCTGCAGCCTGGAACTGCTCTCAGTGAACTCATATTTTGTATGGCTGACCATAAAGACATATCACAATATTCATGAACACAACTGTCTTCAATTGATAAAGGTTATGGAGGAGGAAAAGTAGTATTCCTTTTATCCCTTTAAATTCTTCTAACAAGGCTAATAATCAAATTAACATGAAACAGTTTAACAGGAGAAAATAACCAAATTTATTACATATGTACCTACAGGGGCTCCATGAGACTATGGGATTCAAGGACAGATTAAAGCCCAAGGCTTATAAATTGGGATCGTTGTTTGGTACTCCAAAAGACAAAAAGACTCTCCACATGGAGATGGGAGAGCAAATGTTTAGTTAATAAATGTTTGCTGGGCCATCTGTAACGATGGAACACAGAGAAGACTTTGATCAAAGGAGACTTGCTCGGTACCCCCTGCCTATCACACACCAACTAGTTCATGTTAAACTATAGTTACCTATGATGTTACCCTCCCTTCCTGGAGCAGGCCCTCTTAAATTCTTTTAGGCACTTTGGAAGAAGTTTAAAGGCTTTTCCCTAGTATTTTTATTTTGTTTCTTAAAAATAATCAGTATAAAATATTCCATATCCCAAAGAAGCGTATTTTAGGGTGACAAATTCTGCTTCCCCTCAAGGTCTCAGCCCCTCCCACTTGTCCTCAATCGTCTTTGTCACAGGCAGTCCTTGAAGTTTCATGGAAGGAAATGAACATTATCAGGGAGAGAGTGAAAGTAAGTCCAGCAAACAAAATATTTATCAGTCTCATCAAGTCATTGGGAACCAGTCAGATCCGCTGCTTATTTCCAAAGTAGCGAGGGAACATAACTCTGATCTTGAGTTCCTAATTAAACACAAAATAAAAGTAATATACAATTACTATATGGTGCGGTTATTTAAAAATTATTCTCCCAAAAGGGAAAAGAAAGTAGCCTTGTTAAGCACCTGCCTGAAGTAGCATACAAGGGTGAGTGAGGGCTTTATATTTACTGTTAGAACACTGATTTAAAGAAAAAGCATCCTTTGGTTGAACTTGCTCATGTACTTCTCCTCTTGGTTTCCTGCCCATTCCCTTTCTATTAGAACAAAGACACAGCCCACATTACATTCCTTCTACTTGTAGAATATTTTGTCATATCTGCTCAAGGCACAAAATCACATTCCTCTAGGATCAACATGAGTCCCTGATTCTCCACACCAAACTAGACTCCTTTAAATGTCCATTGCATTTCTACATAATCCTGCTGTACTTCTTACAGTAATAATAATAATAAAAGTCACCCTGGTTGGTGTGGTTCAGTGGATTGATCACCGGCCTGTGAATCAAAGGGTCGCCAGTTTGGTTCCCAGTCAGGGCACATGCCTGGGTTGAGGGCCAGGTCCAGTAGGGGGAGCTCGAGAGGCATTGATGTTTCCTTCACTTCCTTCCCCTCTCTAAAAATAAATAAATAAAATCTTTTTAAAAACACTTCCATTGTCTAAACTAATAATAATAATAACAGTAATAATAATAAAGTCCCCTCTCAGTACAAGGACTTCCCCTGAAAGTTCTGACAGACTAGACAGACAAAGCCTTAGGAGAGATCTAGAAGCCAATCCGTCAACACTGTATTGTCTAATGTAGAGTGGCACCAAAAATTACATGAGTATATAACCTCCAAAATCATGTGAGATAAATCCCACTGGATTACAGTGGTACTCATTTTATATATTCACAAATTAAGTTTCCTAATTTTTTTAAGGATTACTACATCTAAACTCATGAGAGACGTTTGTCGGTAGCTTTCATTTTATGTCTTAATCAGGGAAATAGTGCCCTCATAGAATGAGCAGGGAAATGCTCTTCATCCTATTTTCTGAAAGTGCATATATACGATGGGGATTAGTTCTTTAAGTATTTAATAGAATTAACCAATGAGCTAAAATTAAGCGAGATGATATAATTGTTTATTGTTAGTAAATAAGCATCCCTCAAAACCCAGAAATAGTTAGAATTAAGTATTAAAAAGTTGGAAATATTTCAAAATTATAATTTTTAACATGGAAATAGGAATTAATGCATATTTGATATTTTGTATATTTGTAATATTTGAGAAAATTTGTGCTATTGAATTAACTATTGGCCTTCTAATGCCAACCCAAAATATATACTTGAGTAACTGATTTAAACATGTGAGTAGAAAGTAAAATGTATTAAATTTATGTAGATTGTTAGGACACTTAAGAGAACATAAGTTTCCCATACAGTATTTATGGAAGTTGAGAAATTTGGAAAGTTCAGCTAGGTGGTTAGTTCACTGCTTTACCATGCATAATAATTGCTGAGGACCTTGTGAAATGCAGATAATGCCTCAGTAGGTCTGGGGTGGGCTTTTTAAATATGTATCTGTTTCTATTGCTTATGCTGTTACAGTTGTTCCCGCCTTTTCTCCCGTTCCCCAACTCCTCCCAGCCCCGCTTTCTCCCCTCCCCACACCAGTCCCCATGCTGTTGTCTGTGATCATGTGTTGTGCATAAATGTTCCTTAGTTAATCCCTTCACTATCTTTCATCCCATTCCCCCCACCCCCTGTGGCCACCTTACTGGCAGCTATTAGTCTATTTAATACATCAAAGCTTCTGTTAACTATTTTGTTCATTAGTTTATTGTGTTCATTAGATTCCACATATAAGTGAGATCATGTGGTATTTTTTTTTTCATTGATTGGCTGATTCATTTAGCATAATTTCCTCCAGGTCCATCCATGTTGTTACAAAATCCTTTTTACTGCTGTGTAAGATTCTATTGTGTAAATGTACCACAGTGGTTTTGCATTTGTTAGCATTCATGATAATCACCGGGAACCCTGAGAAAAATGTAGATTTTGCTGCAGTAGGTCTTGGGTGGGACTAGAGGTTTTGCATTTCTAGCAAGTGCCTAGATGAAGAAACTACAGTTCCATGGATCCCATTCAGCAGTGTGGGCTTCCCAAATGGGTCATCCCAAGATAGGCCTCTGTGGTACGCAAATTGTTTTCAGCTCACAGCAACTTTAGCCTTAGGCTCAAGAGAAACTTCCAACTGAGGGGCAACTGTGTCTCTGTTGTTTATTTATTTTCATAACAGTTTTACTGAAATACAGTTCATAAACCATATAATTCACCTATCTAAAGTGTAAAAGTCAATGATTTTTAGTCTGTTCACAGAGTCGTGCAGTCATCCTCACAATCCATTCTAGAACATCTTCATCATCCCCAAAAGAAGCCAGTACCCACTTCACATTTGTACACCTTATCCCCACCCCCCCCCCCACCATGGTCTTAGGCAACCACTAATTTACTTTCTATCTCTATGGGTTTTTCTGTTCTGGGCATTTTATATAAATGAAATCATACAATACGTGGTCTTTTGTGACTGGCTTCTTTCACTTAACATACTTTTTTCAAGGTTCATCTATGTTGTAACATGCATCAGTACTTTATTTCTTTCAATGGCCAAATAATAGTCTAGTGTCCTTAAGTTTTGCACCCTAAATTCTTGCTTCACACTCAAGTTATCAAGTACTGAAAGGCTTTTCTGACTTTCCAGAGAATTCTGGCTAGAGGAGGATGACGTACCTCCATGACAACATCTATAGTTTCTTGAGCTAAGATTCTGGGATGGTGTGTTTTATATGAAGAGCTTTGAAGATTGGTATCACTACTGAGAGGTCACTGATCCACATTCCACAAGGGCTGGGCAAGAGGTCACATCCAACTCTACATTCCAAGGAACACTTACGGGTAGGGCTTCTGGGCGGGG